ATATTCGTCATCTATCGCTATCGTCCTTCGTCGTCGTCCCTCGTTATTACCTCGCGTCGTCCTTCTCACAAAAGTCACCACGTACACATGAAATACAGCCGTCCGAACACACCAAAATAAGGCGGCATCTAAAAGAATAGTTCGTAATAGTTCATCCGGATATCCCCCCCATACATATCATGGATGAACTGCGGCCTCTATATCCGATCTATTGAGAACTTGTATGGATTGATTGACCGGTATTTAGGGGTCTTGCGCAAGAGAATTTTCTTTAGATGAAACGGGATCTGATGTCAAATTGTATTAACGGCTGCTTTCTTTTCTGATGTTCCTTGGACATTTGTTCACTCATCACGTCAAATTTGAATAATACTGATAACAAGAACAAGCGGCCCACAGAAACACATTGAACCTCAAGAAAAGGGACCCATGTGGCTAATCCTATAAGCCCAGCTACAGCCAGAATCATGGTCTCCTAGCCTTTCAGGGTTCACGTTGATTTTCCACATAGACAGGTTCCGTAGATGAGGCTCATTCTTAAAGTTTAAGAAGCACTCACAATCAAAATCTTACGAAAGACACGTATAGGTGTGAAGTAACGGTGTCTTATTGTATAAGTACGCAGCTCAAAGCTTAGGAATTCTCAGATGTTGAAATGTATATCTAAGTGGAATGAGGCCATGATCAAAACTTCGTGAGTTTGCCACGTCTCTCACACAATATGTGTACGGCATTCATGTACAGAGTCCCGGCTTTCCCCATCCGGATTCACACGACTACTTCTTCAACGCGGCCGCAATGGCGTTGTACGCCGGCTTGGGGTTCCAGTTCTCGTCAAATAGCAGAACCTTCGCGGAAGCCTGCCAAGATTGCTACAAATATGTTAGTTGGTTTTGCCGATCCGGTGAGGCGCGTTCCTCTTACCTTGTCGCTGACTCCCCACACCGTGATGCCGCGGCACTTGGGCACGTTGACACACGCGTTCACGACCTCGGCGTACTGCGCCGGCGGGGCGTTGTTGATGTCGAGCTCGGTGATGGCGATCTCGGACACCTTGGCGGTCGCCAGCAACTCCAGCGCACCCTGGATCTTGCTAGACATGTTCTGCGCGAGATGGCACTGGGAACCTGTTCCGCGTTTTCATCAGTTCATATCCACTTTTGATCAATTCGTACTCAAGAGCATACCGATTCCGTCAATAGGGATGCCCTGCGCGATCCACTGGTTGACCTTCTTCACCACCGCGGCGGGCTTGCCCCAGTCCTTGTTGTCGAGGTTGTAGTCGTTGATGTAGAGCTTGGCGGCGGGATCGGCGGCGCGGGCGGCCTTGAAGGCGATGCCGACGTAGGACTCGCCCAGCACGTTGAAGAAGGTGGTGTTGCGGAACGTGCCGTCGTCGTTGAAGATCTCATTGACGACGTCCTTCATGTCCGGCTTAGTGAGCAAATACATGTGAAAATCTGGACCAGAGAACCACTCACCCAGGACCTGATCTTCCCCTTGTAACGGCCAACAACGGTGCTGATGTGGTTTTGCAAAACACTGGTCATGGTCTTCTTGTCCCTGATCGCTGAAACCCACGTAGGGAGGGCTTGGTGCCACAACAGCGTGTGCCCACGAATAGACTTGCCGTTCTTCGTCGCCCAGTTGACGAGGAAATCCGAATTCTCCCACGAGAACTTGCCCCGCGTGGGCTCCGTCGCATCCCACTTCATCGAGTACTCGGGCGTGACCTGTCCAAAGTTGGCCTTGATGATGGCCTCGGTCTTGCCCTGCTGCATGATGCCATTGTCGCCGGAGACGCCGATGAACAGCTTGCCCTTCCCCTTGGCCTTGAACAATGTGTCGATGCTGACGGCGGCCTGGCGCTCGGCGAGGTGGTGGGCGTGCTCGTGGGTAGTCGCGATGCGCAGGGGCGTGGCGAGGGCCAGCGGCGCGAGGAGGAGCGCCAGAGAGAACTTCATGTTTGTAAGGAATGGCTGTCGCAACGAGGACGACGGAAAGTGAGTGTGAAAATGAGCGTATGGAAAGGAACGTGGTGAAGAAGTCGAGGACGGTCCGTCAGCCTCAACAGGCGACTTCGCAGTATTTGTTCCGTTTGGCCATGTGTGGTAAGGTTACTCTCGGTGGAGCACATTCCGGATCTTTTGGGGATCTTTTGTCTACGGGGGGTGACCTTGGCAGACAGGGCAACTCAGATATAGTGGTCTAAATTGGTGCCTAGATTGGGTCGACAGGGAATGGGCGTTGAGGCTCCGGGTTGTCGGAAATGGGGGCCGTTCGTTTGATGGCGTTGTGTGTGTGATATTGGCGAGGGCGTTGTGTTTGCACTGGAATGGACGCGTGCTTGTGGTACGTTGGTGGCTGTCGTACTAGATCGGTCTGTTGCTGTGGGACATGCATTCCGCCGAAGTGATTGTTTCACCGCAGGCATCGCGACTTCAGCTGCCAAGGTCTTGACTCTTGCAATGGTGTTTTTCTGTGATAAGAGGTATATTATGGATGGCCCTGAGTTACTTAAGCACTGACTCCCGGTCGTCCCGATGACAGGAGACTTCAAGAATCGCCGTAGCGCCGTTCCAGGATTAGGCATGCCTGCAACGTTGGGCTCCAGAGTCCAGGGTGATTACTTATATAGTTGATCGGTCCATCCCACTCGGTTTCGCACATTTCGTGGCCCGAACGATGAGTTGGAAGGGGGAAAATGAGATGCACTCATCGAGGGTCCAACGCACTGACCAATTGCAGTCGTGAAGCCGGAGCCCAAACGTCAGTTCAGATCCATCGACGGCGATGACGGACTTTAGAGGCATGCGGATTTAATCTAATAATAAACTCCGGCATCATCATGTATAAAACTTTGACGTCTTGGCAGCAACCATGAGACTTTTGAGATATTTTGAAGCATCTCAAAAGCTCAAGTCACAAAGGCGCGATTCAGTCCCTGAAAAAAGCAATATCCCACACTATCCCACAGGCAAACTCTATTTCACCCCCAATATCCACAGCCATGGCTTCATCAAACAGCACGGCCCTTCTCGTGATGGACCTGATCCACAATATTGTCAACAGACTACCGGACGCCGGCAGAGAGGAGTACCTAGCCCGCATGTCCCGCGGCATTGCGGCGGCCCGAGAGAAGAACATACCGGTGATCCACGTCACGATCCACTTCCGCCCCGGATACCCAGAGGTCCCCCGTACCAATACATTCTGGGCCCGGATCTCAGCCACCGACGACTTCGTGCACATCGAGGGCCAGAAGAAGGAGGGGCAGGATTTTGTTGCGGAGGCCGCGCCGAGGGAGGGCGAGATCATCATCAACCGACCGCGTATTTCGGCGTTTTACAACAGCGATTTGGAGGTTGTGCTGAGGAGTATGGGGGTGAAGAATCTTGCTATTGCGGGAGTTGCGACCAGTGGAGTTGTCCTGTCGACTGTCCGCGAGGCATTTGACCGGGATTACGATGTTACGGTTTTGGAAGACTTATGCATGGATCGAGACGAGGAGGTGCATCGCGTTCTGACGACAAAGGTCTTCTCGTGGACTGGGAATGTGACGAGCTCCGAGGAGTGGATTAACAAGTTGTAGATGATTCCATGTTTTGTTGTAGTGAGAGTGTCTTGGAATAGAAGCGCCTGAGCAGGTCAGGTTCGAGTTGAGTTTATGCCTGGCCTTTTGTGGTCCAAATTGTCGCTGTCGCACAATGACCTGTAACTCACACGTCTCGGTGGAGTTCCTCACGTAGTCTCTTGGTTTGCCATACACGAAGCTCTGTATCCATGGATCCCGTTCTACCGTAGGGTTGTTGCGTGTTTACGACACTGATCTACACGAGAAGTGTGATTCCACTATGACTCGTGTTCCCCAACTTACAAATGGGCTTTCAGGAAAACGGGCATGATAGAGGCGTTGAGCTCGATGACATTCACCCAGCAGCCAATAGAAAATTTTACATCTGCAAGAAACCGCCTGGTCTCCCCGGTTGCTCACCTAGCTTGCTTGAGGGAGATAGTAGAAGTCCTAAGAAACAAAGAGCGGACGATAGCGACAACAATAGTAATAACAATAATTACAATAATTACAACGATAACAACAACAACACAGGCGATAACGACGCCGATGGTAACAATGATAGTAATAGGGGGGATATCTGAGCTCACGGGCAAAGTAGTCACTCTGGCGCAAGAGAAACGGACGGCCTCGTTTATATACTGTTCAACTGCTGAGTACAAACGAGCGAACAGTTGCTTGGGCCGTTCGAAACATAGGCCCGACAGTCATGTTACCTAGGTACTTCAACAAATTATAAGTGGAGGTGATCAAGAACACAGCTCTAGGTGGTAACATGCTGATATCCAATTTTCCATGGACATGGCCTGGCTCTCAGCTATTCTTGCAGGTCCCTCGCTATGGCTTGATACTCGATCGAAATGTGTGGGTTCAAGATAATTTTGTCCAATGGGTTTCTGGAGGTTCGATCTGTGCGCAGGATGTCACTTTTGATACATTCATCGCCCTATCTGAATTTCCCATCGAGTTCCTCTCGTTCACGCTCTTCGCGCGTCTTACGCCACTTATGCCTTTGGTAGTAGACCAAGTGGGATTGCACTCTACCAGTTGGTCTACTTCCGAACAAACGTGGTCAAGAAATACATCTTCTGTGGTCTATAACACATAGTTTGCCCCGTGAAGCATTGGGCGAAACTATTTTGGTGAGTAACCGGCAATGAGGTGCCATAAAGGGCAAGTAAATCGACCACTGCGGACCCATGTGAGTCATTCGTGACGAATCTCGGCCCCGGGAATACATAGCGGGTCCGCTCAGAAGCAAACTTGATCAAGTGTTTCTATTTTATCGTTGCGCAGCCCGACTTCAGACATTCAAGGGCTCTTAATAAACTACATCAGGCATTCGAATTACAAGACTTTCTGAAACTCTGGTCGTTCAAACTCAACATCAAATCGACAAAAGTGCCACTCAAGAACAACTTTCAACATGGACAACGTCAGTGTCACTCGCAGTTGCAATGCCAGAAAGAAGGTTGTTGTCGTAGGCGCCGGTATTTCTGGCCTATGTTCAGCCTCAAATCTTCTTGCCAAAGGGTTCGACGTCGTCGTCCTAGAAGCCCGAGATCGCATTGGCGGACGCATTTTGACCGACCACGAAGATGCCGACAACATTGATATGGGTGGGTTGTAGAGAGTATGGGTGGAAGGTAACTTGCTGTACATTGATCTTGATAGGACGGGTGTTCCCCGCTTGTGTAGGGACTTGTATGGGGTGAAAATCCAGCCCGCCTCGGCGTCCCTTCTTTCTCAAGTTGACAAACTAACACCGCACAGGAGCCGCCTGGATGCACGGCACCTCCTACAACCCCCTCGTCAAGCTCATCTCCAAGCTCAAGATCGACTACTACTATGACGACGGCAACCCGCTCTACTTCACCGAGTTCGGACCTGCCGGCCCCAACTTCAAAGCTAAGAACGTCGCCGATGAGTTTCTAGACTATCTCCACTATTGGATCCAGAAGAACCCCGACGGACCGGACTATTCGGCCGAGGAACACATCCGCAAGTTTGTAGGACAGCATGAGCTTATCACCGATGACGAGCGGATCTGGGCGCCGGAAGCGCTGCGCATTGTCGAGCCGACCCTCAGTCTCGCTCTTGGTGATGTTGCCTCCTCAACGTGACTTGTACGTCAAGGGTGGCTACGATCGCGTGGTGCGCCACGTTGCTCAGCCAGTCCGTCATCTGCCGGGCGTTCTGAAGCTGCGCCATGTCGTCCAGAACATCGAGTGGAATCGGTCGGGCGGCGCTTCACCAGTTGCAGTTCATGTTTATGATCCTAATTGGAAACCCGTCGTTTTCGACGGCGACGCTGTTGTTGTGACCGTCCCACTTGGTGTCTTGCACCAGAACAAGATCATGTTTACGCCTTCCATTCCGAAGAACATCGCCTCAGGCATGTCCAGGACCAGCTACGGCGCACTCGGCAAAGTGTTCTTCGAGTTCACAGACGTCTTCTGGTCTAAACAAAACGACAGCTTGGTATATTTTCCGACACCGGCTACTTTGGACGAGGACAGCGAGAAGAACAAATACCCGGTTCTCTCCTACTCTTTCATGGCCACCAACCTGTGGGTCATGACCGGTGCAAAGAAGCTTTGCGTCCTGCTATCTCCTCCTGTTGTTTACGAGATCGAATCCATGGGCGGCAATGCGGATGAGCTCTTTGCCTATTTTGAGCCCTTGCTGGAGTTGTTTAGAACCGAGCCATACAAATCGCTTCCAAAGATGGTGGAGGCAAAGGTCACTTCCTGGACGAAGGATGAATTCGCTGGAAATGGCACGTACTCCACTGCGAACGTTGGAGACGATCCGCGAATTTTGTGGGATGCATTGGAGGCTGAGAAGGACTTGCGGCTACAGTTTGCCGGTGAGCATTGCTCCCGGGCCGGAACGGGCTGTGTTCATGGAGCATATGAGACGGGCGAAGTTGCCGCGGACAACATATCGAGAATTCTTAGCCGCGAGTAAGCCACGAATAGTTGCTGCCCATGGCTCGCAATCTCGTACTGTTGCAGCCAAGCGGGTGATGAAAGTTGAATAGGGCTGTTTCAGCTGGTGCCCCGTACATCAGACTGAGAATACCCGAGAAGGCAATAGAAAACCCAATGGATTTCAATAGCCTGCCATCTGACTTCAACGATACATGTATTGCGCGTTCCAAGTTCAGCCGGACCGCCCAATAGCGATCCGCGCGGTGTTTAGGCCGAGCGGGGCCGTGCCGACGCCGAAGGGTCCTCCGAGGCCCGGTTTCGTGCTTGGTCGGCGTTCGATGAGCAGGAAAAACGGATTCACACTCGATGAATGACTGTTTCTTTGTTCATCAAGCCCTCACCGGTTGTGGAATGTGGATTGAGCCCCAGACACAGACAAGGTCGATGAAGCTAGGCGCCAAGCTTCGGCCGGCGGCATACTCAATTAGGCATTGGAGGAGCTCAGCTTCGATGCGTGCGGGGTCTCAGCAGCTCGTCTTACAAGGGGCTCGTCACTGCCATGATCCCTGAGAAGAGCTGCAGGCAATGCTGCGGCACAGGGACGCTTTCATTTCCTCGGTCATCGATCGGACGACGGCCTTACTCCTCACCTGAACAACAAACCGCGAGGACCCCTCTCGTTGTGTGTTTCGACCCGATCCAACAGATACATCAGAGCTTCCTCCCGAGCTCTTACCTGTAGCCCTTGCAACGCAACAATCCCCGAATCTGCTGAATGGAAGACCGCTTCATCAAGAACCGCCGCGGACGGTGATCGACCCCCATGAACACGACCGCGCAAGACACAGTTACGCCTGGTCCGACTGCGACCGCGCCGCCGGAGACGATTCCGAGCAAAAAGGCGCCCAAGAAACGCGTTCGAAACTTTACCGCCGACGACCGAGCTGCGCATCGGATCTTCGAGAAGGGCCGTCGCGAAGCCTTCAAAGAGCGATTGATTGTATGTTGTTCTCGCGGATAATATCCATCCAGACCAGAATTGCTGATGCCAATCGATTGTAGGAGCTCGCTGCCAATCTACCAGCTCTAGCGGACACCGATCCCCAGCGCCTCTCGAAGCATGTTGTCATCGACGAAAGCATTGCTCGGCATAAGCTTTTAGAGAGTAGATGCAATGATGCGCTCCAGTGTATTAACTCTTTGTTACAAGAGCGCGAGGAGCTCCTGGACGAGGTGAATAATTGGAGGAGGAACAATGGCGCCCTGATGCGGCAGCCTAGGCCACTCAACGTCAATATTGACGCCTTTGCGGAGACAGAGAGGGAGTTGCGACGACGCGTCGCCTTGCAATTGGGCCGACCGACCAGGAAGAGCTCTGAGCAGTCTGGCGGGCCTACCGACGAACACTCGCAGGCTGGGTCATCGACAAACAACCAGCCAGACGAAGCCGCTCAGGTACCTCGAGTTCTACCTTCGGAGCCCACACAAGATGCTCGTGCGGTATCAGAATTGAACAATCTATTGCTTGATACATCATGGCCAGAAGAAACCGAGTCACCGTCGGTTCGTATCTTTTCAGGAACAGTCATGGAAAGCTTAGCCATGCCGGATCAGGGCACCGCAATGCCATCAAGCGCGCACTCGGAATCCATGCCTGTGTCAAATACGACCATCAATGATTACCAGCTTCTCAGAGGAATCGACCCTGATAGGCAGGGAATGTATCAAAATGGCATGCTGATGGACTTTTCATCGACTGGAACGCCCACGTTCGACGGTATGGATTCTTCACAGGTACCTATTTCGCCTGCCTTCCTCGCCCCATCGGTCGCGAATCAAGACTTGCGTTTTCAGCATAAACAGCATCAGCATCAGCAACAACAACAATGGGCTTCTTGGCAAGGATGATCTATTCGGGGTCTATCAATGCTCATGCTACTGTGCGTGATGCTATCGCAGTTTAGATCTGCTTCAAGACCTCCTCAACCTTGGCCTTGCTTCTCTCCTCACCGCCAATGAAGAGCTTTAAGGCATCTGAAAGACGGGTCGTGGAGATGGGATCAGCTTCAATAGCCTTCGTCAGTTCAGCACCCCCATTGGCCAGGTAGTCAATGTCGGTGCTTGCAAGTTTGCCATCCCATTCAGCAGCCGCCAGGGGGTCAACATTGGCAAGCTTCTTGAGCCGCTCAGGGCAAGGCCCGGCATTCTTGTATACGTGCACCGGCTTAGGAGTACCCTCGCCGGGCTGCTTGGTTCCGTCGTACTCGAGCTTGGCCAGCTGGTCGAGGACTGTGTGAGAGATGGTGGCGGAATGGCAGCCCATTTCGCCTGCTGCCATGGCTTCCTTCGCGGAGATGAAGCTGGCGTTCTTTACCAAAGGCTGTTCTTTGCCGGTTTCCTTGTAGAGACGCTTGTATGTCTCGATGATCTGGACGATGCGGGCGGACATGGGGTGCTGCGTCGCAGGATCCTCGACGTTGGGCCAGAGAGTGTCTGGCTCGTCATGAGCTCTCACCTCTGGTTCTCAAGTCAGCGCCACTCCACGTGCATCTCATGCGCAAACTTACCATTATAGTACGGGCTGATGTACAGCATGCCGGCCTGGCTGCAGGCGATGGCCTGGGGGAGACTAAACAGGGCTGTGCCCAGCGTCGGGATTCCCTCAGAAGACAGGATCTTGGCAGCGTTGAGGGCAGGGCCGGTCGAGGGGATCTTGATGCAATATCTATCGCGTCCGATGCCTGCGCGGGCAAACTCACGGTCGTAGAGGCGGGCGTGGTCAAGGGTCTCTTGTGTCTTGAACGCGTTCGAGGGAAGGGTCTGCAGCAAGACACGGCCGCGAATGGAGTTGATGTTTTTCTTGCACATGAGGACGGCCTGTAGGTCTTTATCAGCTGTGTGGCCTGCGACTGAGTGCATCATGGTCGACATACCATGCGCGTGTAGATGGCAAGCCAGCCTTCATTCTTCAGCTCTTTCGCAGTCTCGAGAAACATCTCCCTATTCGAAGCATCACCGAGCTGGATATCCACCCACAATTGGTTGCTGGTCTGGTCGTGAGGGACAATGGGCATGCTCTTGATGTACTCAGGGTCCATCCAGTCGACGTCAACATTGACTATTCACGTTAGCACATGGGTGTTGGCATGAGGACATTGCTGTGTGACGCACGCTGCTCCTCGAGCTTGTCGAGCCAAGTCATGGCGCCTTTGCTTCCCATCGTGTAAAGTTTCGCAATTGAGATTTTGTTGTAATTGGAGGTATTGTTTCGATATCGTATCGTCGTTCGAGCTTGCCCATCTAGACTGCTAGAATACGTACAAGATAGCTGCTTTAATATCATGCCTCGCCCCACCGGCCCGTCTGATTTTTGGACCTGTACAGGACGAACACACGACGCCCTGCGTGTGTCTGTTTTCTTCATCATCGGGCGTCTCAACGAGTCCATTCCGAGAATCACTTGGCCAATGACGAGACATCCCCAAAGGCCCCTCAGGATGCCACACACAGGGCATCGGGAGCACACACGCAGGGCATTTGGGACCCCGCACCTTCTGGGGTGCACCCCGGTCATCGTCTGATCACACATTGGAGGCCGGTGGGGGTCAAAGAGGATACTCTGGGGTAAATGTCCCGGAATACCACCATGTTATTTCCTGCCCCCAAATACTGACCGGTGGTGTGACAGCTTGCGCGGCGGCTTCCCTCTTGAAGCAAATCCCAACAGCCTCGCAGAATTTCAGGAATGCGTTCAGGGGCAGATGAGTAGGTAGTGTTGCGCAGATGCAAGTGACAAACCCGGAAAACAGCTCAGGGAGCTATGATGCTGGCCATGCCATCTTACCCCACCTCGGTGAACGATTGCCGGCTCAGAGCTACTGTGCAGGTCCAAGAAGTCAGACGACAAGGTTTGCAACCGGCACTCATCCATGATGCCCTGCACAGGACAAGAAGCTAGCGCCTGTAGAGGGCAATCTACTAGTGTGTCTTAGTCTCGTCTCCAAGACTTCCAACCCGTCCAGTTCATGGACACACACAGGGCAACCCCGCAGGATCCCCAGGTTTCCAACAAACATCGCTGTGGTTCGGCCCTCCGCAGGCCATTTGCGACATCAGATTTTGGTCACGGGGTAAGGGGCCAAAGGATTCGCAACAGCCGTTCAACAGCCGATTGATGCTTGTCAGTCTGACGTTGGTGACGAACACTGGGGAGCGAATTCCAGTTTACCCCATGGGGGAGGGGACGACAAGTACGCAAGGATGCTTTCGGAAGAGTTGGAGTGGGTTATATAAGAGCCTCCGTGGACTTTTAACTTCACGACGTAGAAAAGTTAGCATTATCAACAGCTCTCTTCAATGATTTCTCTGCTTTTCGTTCAACACCAAGAGTATCATCATGTCTCGTGTTTCTGACGTCGAGGGCGATGTAAAGTCCAAGCTCGATGTGAGCCATGTCGAGCACAGTGGTGCCGACTATTCCCGGAACATCAACGCAAAGTAAAAGGTCGATCATTTGAGATGCTGATATGTAGCTAACCTTGGGCCACAGGATCCGCAATCCTCTGATCGGCATCTCTAGTCCAGACCTCCGAGTTCAAGTCACTGGCTTTTGTCGTGAGTTTGGCTTTGAAGAAAAGGAGAACGTCTTCTACCGTGGGGCGCTCGCTGCGCAAAACCCCGAGAATTATGAGAGCATTGATGATCTCACCGAAGATGATAAGCACGTCCTTCGCCGCGAGGTCACGCACAAGTGGCATCTTCCCAAGGATCTTTACTACAGTATCGCCCTGTGCTCTCTCGGCTCCGCCATCCAGGGCTGGGACAATACAGGTGCCAACGGCGCCAACCTCTCATTCCCTCAAGAGTTCGGCATCGAGAATAACCAAGCGCTTGTTGGAGTCATCAATGCCGGTCCGACCTTATTTGGTTTGCTGAGTGCTTGGGCAGCGGACCCAATCAACAACTACCTTGGTCGCCGCGGAACCATCTTCCTTACTGGCCTCTTCTGCGTATTCCCAGTACTCGCTCAGGCCTTTACGCAGAACTGGTTGGGTTTGATGATTTGTCGTCTGTTCATGGGCCTTGGCATGGGCATCAAGATCTCGACCATCCCCATCTACTCAGCCGAAGTCGCCCCTGCTGCAATTCGTGGAGGCATCGTTACGAGCTTCCAGTTGTGGGTTGCCTTTGGTATCTTTGTTGGCTTCTGCTCCAACTTGATCTGGTATCGCATTGGAGATCTTGCATGGCGATTCCAGCTAGCTGCTGCTTTTGCTCCTGCCATTCCTGTTCTTATCTTCGTCTGGATGTGTCCAGGTAAGGGATTGACTGTCGTCAGATTTCAAGAGTCTATGACTAAGAGTTGTCCAGAGTCTCCACGCTGGCTTATGAAAAAGGGTCGATATCAAGAGTCATTCAAATCATTCTGCCGGATCCGGAATACCGAGATGATGGCTGCCCGTGACCTGTACTACGCACACCGACAAGTAATAGAGGAGAACAATGCCTTTGGCGGGCAGACACTTCTCCGCCGTATGAAGGAACTCCTGACTGTGCCCCGCCTGCGTCGAGCAACCGTTGCCTCATCTTGGATCGTCATCTCTCAGCAATTCTCAGGCATCAACATCATGGCGTTCTACAGCTCTACAATCTTTCAGCAAGCAGGCTACTCGGATAAGGACTGCCTTCTAGCTTCCATGGGCTTTGGTCTGATCATGTTTGTCTTTGCATTCCCAGCTGTATACATGATGGACACTTTTGGGAGAAGAAACCTTTTGCTCGCCACGTTCCCCTCAATGGCCTTTTGCCTATTAGCAGCTGGGCTGAGCTTCTTGCTGAATACGGGGTCAAGTGCGAGGGTGCCACTAATTGCCTTCTTCATCTACCTTTTCACGGCGATGTATGGACCTGGTAAGTGCCCGATATCTCTGACTCAGATCCATATCATTGTTTGCTGACGATCACCAGGAATCGGCCCACTACCATCAATTTACTTCTCCGAAGCTTTCCCGCTGTCTCATCGCGAAATTGGGTCGGCTTTCACCATCTGTGTGAACAACGCCGTCGGAAGTGCTCTCACGCTGTCGTTTCCCGAACTTCTTCACAAGATCGGACCAACCGGTGCATTTTGCCTCTACGCTGGTCTGAATCTGCTTGCGTTCTTCGTCATCTTCTTCATCATCCGAGAAACCAAGTAAGTGACCGTCCATCTTTCTTCGCAAACTATATGCTGATATCTATCAACAGACAACGCACCTTGGAAGAGCTTGACTACATATTTGGAGTTCCTACCCGTCGTCATGCAGCATATCAGGTCCGCACATGGCTTCCTTGGGTGGTGAAGAGATATCTGTTCTTTCAGAAGGATGCTAAGCTGGAGCCATTGTACCATTTAGAGTAGCGAGGCTGTCATCGTGAAGAGCCTCGAGAGGACACTACGTATTTCTGAATTGAGTTTCGTCGCAGGATTTCCCATGTCGAGTCTGCATCTTACAAGGAATTTTCCATTGCACGCATGTATCTCCGGCCACCTGGACGGTCAGTTATTGCACAGGCCGTTGACGACGACAACAACGACCATAGCAGTAACGACAATAACAAGAAGTACAGTGGCATAGTTCTGGAATCTGAATCTATATTCCTCCTCTGAAAAAAAGACTAGTAGGGGTACATGAACACTCAATGAAGGTAGGTTTACGCCTAGCTAGCTGGAATTGCCGGGCCTGGTAGCAAGACGGTTGCTGGGGCTAGTGGGCCCTGATCGAAATGATGTCCACAAGTGCTTTCGTCACAAGGTGTACCTAAAAAGAGGTGACCTATCGCCCATCATTTGGAGCTCATCGTCCGAATACTTGGCCCTGATTTCCTCCTCAGTAAACTTGTCTCTTTTGCGGTTGATGTTCCAGAATAGGAACTCCAACACAAAGCAAGCGACGACACCGAGTCCAGCGAATGCAAATGACGAACCAAACCCCGTTGGGTATTTCGGGCTCTCGTCCTCGCGATAGATGAAACTGCCCACAATCCCACCGATACTCCCTAGACAGATCATATAGGCGATTCCCTGAGCGCGTTTCGTAGGTCCTGCTAGATTGTTGACGGTCCAAGCATTGCCGCCAGGGTTGATTGGGTAGAAGCCAATACTGGCAAGGAAGATGGCGAAGTAGCATGCTGGAATGTTCTCTTGAATGTTTTCGGCTTTGGAAAATAATATAGCAAACGATATCAAAACCAAGACTTGGGCAAAGACAATGAAAGGCATCCTCCACTTGAACCTGTCGGAAAGCGACGAGGAGATGTAGGCGGAGATGACTCCAACGATGTACGGAGGGATGGTCAGGAGTTGGGCGTTGCTACTAGTGTATCCCATGTTCTTGATAATCTGGGGCATCGTGAATTTCATCCCAAAGTTCGGTACCGTGTTAGACCAGTAAACGAGGGCCTGTAGGTAAAGTTGCCAGTCGAGCAAAACGGAGCGGAGGATTTCCCATTTGCGCGTCTTCTCAGCCTCTCTCACACGTATGCTATTACCTTGAACGGCATACTGACGCAGTTCAAGGTACTTTCTCTCGTCAGCGTCCAGCCACCTTGTTGAGAGGGCAGGTGTGTCGATAAGTAAGAAGAACGTCGCAACGCCAGCGACGACGGAAGCGATCCCTTCGATGATGAAAATCCACCTCCAGCCCGCGATACCAGCGAGTCCATCCATCCGCACGATGACGAATGCAAGAAGGCCGGAGAAAGCGCCGGCTAAAGCGCTAGCACTGTAGAATATTGCGATTCGCGTTTGGGTCTCATGTGGGAGGTACCATCTCGATATAGTGTAGACCGCTCCGGGAAAAAAGCCGGACCTGTTGATTGCCCACTGTCAGTATGTGCTATTCAAGATCGACTGCAAATGTAGGCTGATCTTACTCAAACACACCAAGAAGGACTCTGACTGCGATAAGACCTTCAAAGTTCTGTACGAGGCCGGTCAGGGTGATGATAGTGCCCCATCCTGTGACCAAAATGCCCATGTAGGTTGAGGGGCGCTTGAACTTCAAGAGGAGCATATTGCTAGGTACCTCTTTTGAAGTAAATGAAGTGTCAGCGGTAAATAAGCTGTGACGAGGGCTGACTAGTGGCCATACCAAACAAGATGTATGTTATGAAGAAAACACAAAGGGCGATATTGTACTGCTGTCCCGTGAGATTCAAGTCCTCGGGCAGGCCTTCGATCTTGGCGTTGCCGATGTTGGCTCGGTCAAGGAATGAAATCAGGTAGAGCAACCCCAGCAGTGGAACCAGGCGCCAGTCAAGCTATCAATAGGGGATCAACTCCTAATCCTGAAAGCACTTCAAGAGAATAGAAACTGACCTTTCGCATCACTCTCTTCTTCCGGTCTTCGGGGAAGTTGTCAAGGAATGCTTGATCTTCCGAGTGAGTTCGCTAGCTACCTCCTGGTGGACGAAATCGCTCCCTTTTTCAACGTTGGAAGCCGTATCGGAGATGGGCTCGACAGCCTCGGGTCGTCGTTCCGACATCTCGAAGACAAAGTTGTGTGAAACCAGCCCTTGACAACGTCAAAACGTGAATACGTCGCAGAGTGTTAGAACAGCTCAAGACGGCGATGAGGTAAGTTCGCTTCAACACATAGTGTGATGATGGAGATATTGGAAATGGGCCAACCGCATTTTTGTAGTTCTCATCCAGTCTCAATGAGCCCTTGTCATTGATTACCCCAGAGCAATCCCGGTAAGGCGGTGGAACAGCAAACCGGGGCGTCGAGCACCCCGTGGGGTTGATCCGAGAGCTAGTGGCCAGGGAGCAACATTCTCTGATGATTTCTGGCATCGCAGCCAATGTTTTTCGGACGGTTGTGCAAACTCCGATGACAGGTCGGGATTGGGACGCTGTCGGAAAAAGTCTCGGGCGTAATTCTAAGGTGGCTATCTTTTCCGACGACTAACATCGGAGATGTCGGAAAATCATGTTATGAGCGGAATCTCTTTTGAGGAGGTGAGTTCATCGCGGATCGACTCCAAGCGGACAAACGGGACAACTAAGCTATGTGTAACATTTTCATCAGCCGATTGTGGTGAACAACACATCCCAGACTGTTGCCGAGAGAGACGGTTGTCCACCGAATTGACCTCTGCCTGGATGGATCAACGGAATCAGCTGGGTCCACACTGTGACTATGCTATTGCTTAGCTAGAGGATTCCGAAGAAAAGTCTTCCACCTCATTGGGAAGCCATGGGACAATTGCTTTGGCGGAGGCTTTGTGACGAAGCTGTTCCGAGGTCGGGACGCTTGGGGCCCCCCTCGCTCATCATCGCCCGAAGAGCATATATGCGACATATTACTGCCGCCTACGTATAAAAGACTGTTCTAGTGATCGAAATCTTTCAACGCCCACTTCAGATCTCCCATTGCATTGCGTCCTCTAATTGCAGTCATTATGGCCCAAAACGGCACCCACGACGATGTTGTCATCGCCTCCTACCCAGATCTCGATGGCAAGGTTGTCTTCCGTAAGTTGACGTTTGTATAAAACAAACCAGAGACCACACTGACCTGGGATTAAAAGTAACCGGTATTGGTCAGTCAGGCGATCAGGAAATGTGGGGGAATGGAGCCGCCACGGCACGCCTCCTAGCCAAGCAAGGAGCCAAGATCTTTGGCTGCGATCTCTACCTGGAGCCTGCTCAACACACGCAGAAGCGTATTGCTGCCGAGGGCGGAGACGTGACCGTTGTGGCTGCGGATGTTACAAATGACGAGAGTGTCAAGTCGGCTGTGGACGCGTGCTTAGCCAAGTACGGCCGTATCGATATCCTGATTAAGTATGGCTACTGAGCCCTTCGCATGAGGAGGATAAGTGCTAACAAACCTTTAGCAATGTTGGCCGATCAGAGCCTGGTGGCCCCGCTGAGATGACAGAGAAGGTCTGGGATGCTCAGACCAACGTCAACCTGAAGTCTGTCTACCTCTGCTGTCACCATGTTCTTCCCCTGATGGAGAAACAAGGCTCAAGAGCTGTGGTAAATGTGGCGTCAATCGCCGGTCTGAGGTATATCGGCAAGCCCCAAGTTGCATATGCCGCCACCAAAGCCGCCGTCATTCAATTCACTAAGGCCACGGCGGTGATTTACGCATCCAAGAATATCAGGATGAACGTGGTCGTTCCCGGTCTCATGAACACACCCCTGGTTGGTATGCTAGCCGACAAATACGCCGGGGGCGATGTTGAGGGCTTTAAAGCGAAGAGAAATAAAGCTGTCCCGATGGGTAGGATGGGTGACTCTTTTGATGTCGCAATGACGGCTTTGTTCTTGGCCTCATCACAGTCCAGATACATCACGGGCCAGCAAATTGTCGTTGACGGCGGCATCACTTCGTCAACGGGTTAAGGATTGCTATAGACTGAGCGATAAGAAGCAAATAACAACACGAAGTAGTCGCCTTTCCGAGGCTAATCCAGAACCGGTCCCCTTCTCGTAGTATTTGGAGCGTTGTCGAAGCCTATATCCAGAATCAGATCGAAATCACTGACAGATCCAAAAGAAGTCAATTGGAAGCCTTGTTGCTCTCCAAAGACGCCTGCTTGTGGCTGTCCAAGTGGTAGACGGTTGGTATCCATGGTTCCCGACATTCCAAACATGGAGATATCGGTTGGTCTCATTTGCGAATTGGCTGTAGGCGCAGAAACCTGCTGCGTGTTGTCGTTGAGGACAATTTGATCTTCCGATAGTGTCTGTGACGTCAAAAAGTTCGAGATAGAAACTTGGTCTGAGTGGCTCCACGGGGAATTTCCACTTTGCATGACGACCTCGGCATTGCCGACTGGCGAAGTTGAGTTCATGTGCCTCACAATATGGACTCGCGAACAGGATTCCTGCAAACATCAGACAACCAATACAGCCTCAGATAGAAATATCCAAGACTCACTTCAAGTAGCATTTGATCGTTAATGTGAGCGCCGTAATCAAGCTCTCGGTGCACCTTCATAGCGTCTTCAATCGCCGCATGAACTTTATCCGTGTCATCGGAGTCTGGGTAAAGAATGCAATAGACGAGAAGAATTGATGTGGCGCAGAAGAGAAAGTGGGAGGTTGTCTGTGTATGTGTCAATACCACTCGGTAAGACCAAAAAGGCTTCTACTCACCCAGAAAGCGGCGTTGTATTTGCATTCATCTGCGCCTACACTGGTCGCAAGAGACACCATTGCAAGGGCATTGTCAACGCATGCTCTGATACGACCGGAGCAGGAGCTCGAGGACGGCGTACTCGGCGTCTGGCCGAGAAATTCTCGCAGCAGGTAGCCTCGGTATATCATCATCTTGTTAAAGAGAAACGCAGCCTGCGTGGTTCGTTGCTGCCTCCGTAACACCCACGAAACTTCGTAGAACTCTTGATCACCGCCCCTTTCCTTTTCTTGCCGGGGATGAAAGAAGTCAGGGGTATCTCGAAGCCAATCATCGATTTCTCGTTCCAGCTCGGTCACAATTTGCTCTTGGGAATCTGGCGTGTGGACTGCCCCGAGATAAAGTCTGGAAATGACGAGCCCAAGTATCTTGGTAAGTCTGCATGTAAGAGTTAGAAAAGCCATATTGCGTACTGGCTTCAGTATACTGGCCTAGCGTGAGCAACAACTCCTGTGAGTAACCGTTTCTCAGTCGTTGAAAGATAGCATTCGATGGTGGGATTTAGAGCGTGCGGATATGACATATTAACATCCGAATCATGTATCGCCATCGGTCTGCCGAGAATGGCAGCGAGGTACCTGTAGCGAGGGAATTCTATGTTTAGCTACTTCTCCAATTTTCAGGGAGGGGGAGATAACACTCACCGATCAATCATAAACATAGCCCAAAAAAGGCATCGCCTGAAGTGACCTTCGATGGGATCACACAGCTTCTGTTCGCGGTGGATATCTACCATTTGACTTAGTCTGACGGCGCAGCCTAGTGACATCCAAGCGCTGTTGAATCGACCAGATCCCACTTCGAACTGACACTGAAAACTGATTAGCCAAGTCTGTGATAAGGGTGGAAACGCACGAACCTTCAGCATGACGGCTTGAATGTGTCTTACGGAAGGAGGGAATTGACCTTGAGTCTTTGCGAGTCTTGTTTCCGCAGCCTGTAGAAACTTGTATCTAGCTAAAATTTAGTGAATGCTGTACTAGTGGCTTTCAAGGTTAATCAACGCACGACTTCTGTCTCCAAGGTGGCAATGGTTCGTTCTTCCAGGATGACATACACAAGCATCTTACTTTCGATTAGTGTCTATACTGCTGCACGTCTTGAGGAAGAAACTCTACCCAATGGCCATGACCAAAAACAACACTGCCATTCGGTCGTGGTCTCTTGTGATTGATTGATCGTCGGCATAAAACTTTTCGAATGTGTCTGCAACTTCACGACGAGAGACATATCGATATGTTACGGAGGCATGATCGAAGAAACAATCGACGTATCCCTGAGTGATGGTCCTGGGCGGAAAGGAGAAGATTGAGGGATCGTTTGAATCCAAGAGATCTTGTTCTCTGCTGAATAGACTTCGGGGGAGACCTTGGCCGACTTTGGCAAGATGGTCCGAGACGCGGCGAAGAAAGCCATGAGCACTGGCATCCCCTTCCGAGGTCAACCGGGCGGGGGTTGGTGGAATCGACCGTCTATTCTCAGTGAGTGGATCTTGGGTTTCGTTCTCGGTCCTTTGAGAAGCACTGCTGGCATTCGATGACTTGGCAGCGGTTCTGGAGGATGTTCTTGCTTTACCGGCTGTGATGCGGCCTCGGCGTTGCTATTTGCCTTGTCAGTGTCTGTAGGACCGGTCATCTCCGTTTCGCCCTGATTACCGGATTCAGCCTCTGAACACGATTATATGACGAGACGTAAGTACATTCTGGTGTGAACAGCGCAGCAATTAGCTTTGAAGCAGAGTGGAGGACTCGTGTTCGAGCTGCACCTATTTCAGAACTCAGGCAACGGCGGCAAGGCTCGCGACCATCGCACTTAGACTTCCTTTTCTTGCAGGCACTTTGAAGGCGGTTAGAAACAGGAAGAATAGGCGGAGCAGACTGGGAAAACGGGAAACCAACTCGCAAGCCCTGCAGCATTGTTAACATCTTGCCGGAAAGAAGAGCTGTGCGCGCAAGCCACTGACCGAGTGACGTATTTCTGTTTGGTGGTTGAGGTTGAGACTGGAGTTGATTGATGTTCATCCTCCATTGTGCTTGTCTACTGCATAGAAGATGCAGAACTGTCTCTTACTTCAATCAGTTCACGATGCGTTTTTCATCGGTGACAGTGAAGGGGCAAGATCAACGATCGAAGATGAGGAGAGACGCCTCCCCGCATTTGCAGCGCGGCGGCCGGGAATTTAATCGCTGAGCTTGCCCCACTGCATGGGTTACTGCTTCAGCCGGGGCGTGTTTACGACCGCCGCAGGCCCGAGACGCTGTAAGATGAAATAGTGGTTCGATACACTGAACGGTCCAATTTCTGCGTGTTTAGCCAAGATGAAATATTGCACATCTTGCTTAAACCCGACGTAAAATGAGAAGATAGTCTTTACATTCTACCAGTTTCCTTCTGTATGGCAAAGTGTGCACGCCTCGATTGTCAAGCCCACTGTGTTGAACCTGGAACGCGCCAAAAGCGCTGTCGCTCCAGCGAAGCAGTGTAATTCTACGCCCTACCAGACGACCCGAGCACCTCGACCATCAAGCGTTCGACGCCTTTTGAATACTCCTCAACTCCCTGGACTTGCAGTGTTGTAAGTTCCACTTTGGAACAGTTTTCCTCCAAGTACTTGTGATAACCATTGCGCACGTTGCGGTTCTGGTTCACCTTGACCATTCCCTTAGCCATGCCCACCTTGACCATTTCGTCTGACAGCGGGTGCGTGCCGTGCAAAACCAGCGGCGTCGCCTCCCCAAGAGCTTCATAAATCTTTTCTAACCTACGCCACGACTGTTAGCCAGAAACCAGCGGGCACTGGAGCATTGGTTGTGAGCTTACCTATCAAGCTGCCAATGTTTCTCTGCGCCTCCAGGGGGATACGGTCCGTGGACGTTGCCAAAGCTCGGCGCAAGAAAATGAACCCCCGTCTGCTTTACAAATTCAGCGGCGCGGTCCGGATCCGTCCATACGCTCTCGAGGTCAACGGTCGGGAGCCCGTCTTCTCCGCCCTCCATCCTTCCCAGCTCTGCCTCAACGGTCATGTTCTTTTTGCGAGCTCTATCCACGACAGACTTGACGTATCGAATGTTTTCCTCCTCTTCGAACATAGAACCGTCGACCATTATTGAGTCAAAGGCACATTCCAATGCCATGTCGGCGTCGCTCGGCTTGAGGCAGTGATCGAGGTGGACCGCAATTGGCACCGATGCAGCATGTGCTGCTTCAGCGGCAAATTTGATGAAGGCAGGCCCTTGGAAATGCATCGACCAGGGGAAAAACTGGATTAGAGCTGGAGAGCGACATCTTTCAGCAGCCTTGATTACGGCGAGAACACCTTCAGTGTTGTACCTGGCAAGAAATTAATTGTTCATTGAAGGCCACTTGAGTGGTGTTGAATACATACACACAGAAGCCCCCGACGCCATAACCTTCTGTTTTGGCGTTATGAATGATTTGCCAAGTTCTGTTGCCTTCTGGGTATGCCATTGTAGAGGTACGTTCGAATTCGAGTTTTCTTGTAAGATACTTCTTGCTCCCCCGGGCTCTTGGCAGATTTTCACGCCTCCTCAATTAGCATGATTTCAAATCTTCAGCAACACTCGATATTATACGCAACTGTTCCTTCGCGGTCGTGGAGCTATGGCGTCGGAGATCCCATGTTGTTGTCACGAGGGAAATTTCCGATGTTCTCACATTGACTCACTAATTCCGACGGCGACTTTGAGTGGTCACAAAGATTCCGACGGAAATCCCGGCACCCGCACAAAGTACCTGGTGTCGGAATTCGCAATTGGAAGAACAGGTAGTATATAGCAATATCCTGTGTGATGGAGCTCGGAAAAAGAAGAAGGATCGAAAACATTGCTGCCGTTCGAGAGTTAAAACAAGATGTTTGAATTAAACACCGTACGTGTTAGCTGGATCGGTGGATGAGCAGCACCAAAAGAGGCATCTCTCCCAGATTTAGGTTCACTAGCGATAACCAAAGGTGGTTTGTAAGATCGTGGCTCGATACAATGGTACTCAATGTTAAGCTGGACTTTTCATTGATATTCTTATTGACGCCAAATAAGAAGAGCGAACTCATAACTTCTTCCTGTACGTGTTGAGGCTCCACCCAGCTTTCACTATGCGAGATTACTTGATCGCCGAGTCGGCCCAAATGGCGATGTGAGTACCTTGAATTCTGGCGAAGGATTTCGGATTGGATATGAGAAGCTTCATGGTGATTCCGCACAATAGTCCATTTGCCCCTTGCTGGCAAATAGTAGCATGTCAGGCATTGACTTTTGCCCGCTGCTGATTTCCGACGCGAACAAGGAACTCATCGGGGACCCTTATTCCGCATGCCAATCGTGCCAAACTTCCTTATCCGATGCCAGTCGTTCCCCAAGACCGAGACGATCAAAGCCATCTCCTACAACTGGTAGTTCCTCCATATCGAGAAGCTCGGCTGGATGCGAGTCAAATACCTTCCTGACCTTGTACGTCGGCTGTGGGCTCGTAATGAGCATTCTGGAGAGGCACATCTACACCCAAGTATGAGCCACAATGGTTCTCCTCTGCCTCACCGGCCTGCTCAGCCGCAGTCAATGCAGTATGGGTATAGCAGTGAACTTCAAGCGGACACAATGCGGAGCACAACACCAAGAGCACAGTCAGATCCCTCATCCAGGCTACACGTACAGAGATGAAGCCCAGGGCGGCCCGAGTAGAGTCCCTTAACAAGGAGGCAACATGCCCCAGACGTGATTTTGCCACAAGGGGCAACGTCACGACCAATACTGTATGTGTTGTCAGGTGTTGTTTGACTTTGCGTGTCAGTCTCCGGTTGAGAAGATTCCTTGCTATTTGCGGTGTCGCGGACTTCTTTGGTTTTGACGAATTGATGAACCTTTTCCTACCTCGTTGGATTGTCATAGAACCAAATTGAACCACTCTCATTAACCGCACTGAGGCTTTCTAATCATGCAGTCCCTGCAATAGCTAGTACAAGCGGTTGAGACTTTAGCCGCCACACCTGGAGTCGAGAGTAAGATATCAAGACTATGGGCCACAGTCTAGAACTCACACTCACTCAGAGGATCAATTTCACCGCATGAAGTCTTACCCACGCACCTTCTAGGGGCCCTTGTGGCAGATGAACGTTCCTGCGGTTGAAAAACACCAGCACGAATACACAACATCCAGGTCGAATTAGAATACAAGCGGTCTAATCAACTTCAAGCGAGCATCCGAGCTCTCGGCCGGCGTTTCAATAGGGGCCGCTCCGTGACAGGGAACTCTGCTGAACCGCAAAAGCGCCCTCGACGCACAATAAGGAGCACCTTAATATCGACAAGACTGCCCGATTTGCCTTCACTCCACGCCAATCTGGTAGATTGAATTAGTACCACTAGGGATTTCTTGTTTTATTTTCCCTGCTTAGTTTCGATGGCTCCTAAATCTTGGAGGACTAGACATCTAGGTTCCTAGCGAAGCCATAGAACGCAGGGCTTGGCTTCTCCTGTTCATCCCGTTAACCCTTGCTCTTGGCTTAGCATCAGCACGTGCCATGGCATCGGATCATAAATCCGTCATTCAAATAACCTTAAGCTAATCAGGAAACACGGTCATTGGCCTTTAACAATATCACAGCCCTGTAAATGGATACGCTTGACGAGTACAGTCAAATGAGGCGGTGTTAGAAACTTGTAAACTCTGTATCCAGAGGCGAAATATTACCCCATTAGGAAAGCCCGGTAGACAGAATAACACAAGTGCACTACTGCCGCGAGTCAAGATACGCGCGCGCGCGACTACATTTGTAACGAGATAAGGGGATAGATCTATGCGCAAGATGACTAAGGCCAGTCTTTTATAGATAGTCTGTCGGATCCCGACCTGGTCTTCGGCGGTAAGGCAAAGACCGGTATGAACGTCAGCCATCATGTTGATTGGCGCTAACTCTCTCTGGAAGGAAACTGGTCTCGAGAGCATCAATATGGACAATCACCCTGGCCTTTTGATCCTGTCGCGAAAACGAGCATCGCTAAAGTCTTGGTGAAGGAAATGACTTGGACTCGGGGCAGTGTAAACACGTTGAATATTACGCGGCTGCCAAGCATCATGATATTTTGTTCTCCCGAGCCTTATTGGATCGCCGAGGGGCTACCCAAATCATGTCTTTCGAGAGACATAAATGCGGTTGAATCCAAAGATGAGACGAATCTTTCATCCACAGTCACTCGTTCAGACAAGCTCAATCATGCTTTTGCTGTTCTAAGATGCGTTTTGCTCACACCATCATCGTCGCCTTGCTGGCCCAGAATGTCGTCTCTTATGACACTTCTCTTGGCTTCAACACACCCCAAGTAAACGAGAACCGCAGTATCGACGAGATTTACCAAGCAGCCCTCGCAGAAGGCGGTGTAGTCACCTGCTGGCACGGCGGTGATGAAGTGAATCAACAAGACGGCCTCAAGCGTGCCTTCGAGACGCGCTTTCCGGGTATGACACTCAACGTCACGGTCAACCGGTCCAAATACCACAGCGTCAGTATCGACAAGCAGCTCGCTTCAGGCCAACCTCTCGAAGTCGATACAATCATCCTCCAAGCACTTCAAGATTATCCCCGCTGGGATGCTCAGGGAGCCCTTCTGCACTACGCGCCGAGCAACTACATGAAAGTCCTGGCACCTTTCAGACACATCCGCGCGGCATACTACGGCTTTGCCATAAACGCGTGGTCAACCGTCTGGAACACGCAGAAGCTAGCGAACCCGCCACGCGAGTGGCCTGACTTTCTGAAGCCGGAGTATAAGGACAAGATCGTCTTGACGCACCCGAGCGATGACGATGCGATCGCATACATTTTCGACCTCGTGTATGATGCTTGACTCACCCAAAGAGAAACATTGCTAACCTTTTTCAGGATGAATCAGTACGGCCCCGAATGGTTCGATGGCCTCTTGGCTAATAATCCCCGCTGGGTTCGCGGCACTGGCTCGCCTCTGGCTGTCCTCCGTCAGCCTAACAGCACGCAGTCCGTGACGTTCACCGCTAGTATCGGCCTCCGGGCCTCGGGAAGCCTCAATGCATCGTTTCCTGCCGAGGGACTCTTCGTCAGCTGGCCCAGGTCTGTTGCCATTTTCAAGGACGCACCCCACCCAGAGGCTTCCAAGCTCTTTGCCAACTTCCTTTTGAGTGACGATTTCCAGCGCAACTCGTCGCAATGGAGCGCTCGCAAGGATATCACTGCCCCTGGAGGCTACCCGGGTATTTTGGATATGGATACGACCAACTCTGCTGAGTATCTTCGCTTCATGTCGGATCGTGGTAGAGTGGAGGCTCTTCGGATGATGTTCGAGGATAGAATCGGTATGCCGCAAGGCCCCAGCCCTCTGGTCGATGACCTTTGAGTCAAATGTCTCTAGTGGATCATGGGGTCTCAGTACGAAATACGGCAAAGATCTCTGGCCCAGTCAATAGTTCGGCCTTGACTTGGCAACGTCGTTGACTATCCTTCCGTGATCGTCTCTTTCACTAGTACAACCATTATCAATTGTCTCCACACTGTTCTAGCCCCCCGGTGAAAACGTGCTTGTCGCATGATGTTGGGGTACAGATATTTTACGCGTACGCATGCGAGCCCGTTGGTGAGACTCTCAGCCAAGGAAAAGAAATTCGCAACTTTTACACAATGAGGACTAGCTCATCGCATGCAACTCTCATGCCCCCCAGACAACCCACACTTCAAAGTGGTAAGTACCGGCCGCCGGCGTAGCACACACGCTCCACGCCTACCTGTACATGCAGCTCAACGGTCGGGCCCAGCTTGGCTGACCTTCTTAATTCACAACTCCAACCAGTAGAATGCAACGCATGAGCTCTTGGGAACTTGATCAAGCCCGAAACCTCTGCGAGCCGTTCCGAAAACGACTTAGTCAGACGCCCGAGCCGAGGCATCCAACGTCGCCGAGTTGCGGGGTTCTGCGGGGCCGCATATCTCTACCGGCCGACTTGCAGGGCCAAGGGTTTCCCGTTGCGCTGGGTTTTGTTGGTTTCTGGGCGACTGGTAAATGGAGTACCATCCATCATGCCTGGTCCTTTCCTCAACCAGAAGAAATTGAAGGACTTCCACGATTTCCGTTGGCTCAAACCACAAGAGCTATCCTCACCCAACAGGAATTACCCGCCGGAAACAGCCATAAGCCGCAGCAGGCCCCTCATTCCAGACCTCGAGCTATCTTTCCTGATGCTAGGTCTTGTCCCGAGGCTCGCCCCCTTTTTCTGTCTGGCTTGCTATTGCTACAACTAGAGGGATTGCGGAGCGTCTTCCGACCATACCCAATTTGATGGAAACTTGCGAAATGGCGACCCTCACGTGGCATCGTGGGCCTTGGAACGCCCAGCTCACCGACTCTGGAATTTTGGTGATGGGGATTGCTTCAAGATGCGACTGGCGGAGGAATAACGGAGTCCATGACTCTGATTGAGGGAACCTTGTTGACGAGCGATTTTGAGGATCAGGGTCAGCTAGGTTAGTCGCTGCTTTCAGGCATAGATCGAAACTCGTGAAGGATCAAAGTCGTCGGGGTTCTCGATGGGATGAACTGGCATGTCACTTTGACATCTGTTCCTCATTGTGAACTCATTGAGCTTGCATGAGTTGTCTTGCGAGATATCGTACTTCTCATCTGTTGATCAACTGCAAGAGATCTTGTACTTGGTACATCTCACGGATCGACCTCCGCCTGTCATGAAGTGTTAACTGTAAGGTCGAAACGATGACAATCGTGGAAACCAAACAACATAAATAGGGCCTCACGATCCTCTCAAACACGGCTTTCTTTTGGATCATCAGACTCAAGCCCTCGCTCAGACTGACAGCTCCTCCTTCTCCTTCGCTCCAAGCCGACGCAGCACATTCTCTCAGAGACACCTCTCTTCATACGACGCCCCGTCCCCAAACATCCAAAATGAAGTTCCTCAGCGTCTTGTCCCTGGCCATCACCCTCGCCGCCGCGGCTCCTGTCGAAGTTGAGACCGGCGTCGCCCTCGAGACCCGTCAGTCGTCCACCCGCAACGAGCTCGAGACCGGCAGCAGCTCCGCCTGCCCCAAGGTCATCTACATCTTTGCCCGTGCCTCGACTGAGCCCGGTAACATGGTAAGGCTTCCTTCATCCTATCTTCAAAGGCCTATACTCACATCTCGAAAAGGGAATCAGCGCAGGCCCCATCGTCGCCGACGCCCTGGAGAGAATCTACGGCGCCAACGACGTCTGGGTCCAGGGCGTGGGCGGCCCCTACCTCGCCGACCTGGCCTCCAACTTCCTGCCCGACGGCACCTCGTCGGCGGCCATCAACGAGGCCAGACGCCTCTTCACCCTCGCCAACACAAAGTGCCCCAACGCGGCCATCGTCTCGGGCGGCTACAGCCAGGGCACCGCCGTGATGGCGGGCTCCATCTCAAGCCTGAGCACCACGATCAAGAACCAGATCAAGGGCGTCGTGCTCTTCGGGTACACCAAGAACCTGCAGAACCTGGGCCGTATCCCCAACTTCGAGTCGTCCAAGACCGAGGTCTACTGCGACATTGCGGACGCGGTCTGCTACGGCACCTTGTTCATCCTGCCGGCGCACTTTTTGTACCAGACTGATGCGGCTGTTGCGGCCCCGCGCTTCCTCCAGGCCCGCATTGGTTAAGAGGGTTGAAGGAGAACCGAAATAGGGGCTAGAGTCGAATAAGCATGGCGGGATCGAGGGGAAGGTGTGGTTGCGGCTGTTGATCGGTCAGGGGGAGGAGTTGGCTGAGCTTGGTGCTCTACATTCTATTCCGTCACTCACTTCGTCATTCGCTTTTTGTCACTCGCTAAGTACATGATGCTTCTGGATAGCTGCTACGAACGGAATGAAATGCAACTTGTTTTGTATTGCTAAGGGGTATCATTGATTATCATCTCCTAAGTGGTATCATGCCAGTCTCTTGTCAAAGTCTGGTAGCAGCTCCTGATCCAATCTTCGTCTCCTTCCATCATCTGCTTTTTCGAGACTCTTCCCAGCTTCCTTCACATAATTGCCTATGCCCTTGCCTTCGCCTTTTTGCGGAGATGCGCAGCATGCGTTTGCATGTGAAACTTGACATCAGGGGGGTGCAGTGGGTTGTATACCATCCGGCATATCTTGCACTCCTCGAATGTGGGTTTTGACGAGATATTGATGGTTGTCTGTATCGTCGCAACCGGCTTCGACCTTGCCTTTGGTTTGGCTGTCGCTTCTTCCGACTTCGCCTTGGGACTCTCCTTCTGTGCGTTTAACTTGCTTTCCTTCGCCTCTTGCAGCTGCTTTCCTTCTCGTCGACCTGACCGCGTGACCCGTATCGCCGTCTCTTCGTCCTTGTCCTTGTCTAGCTTGTCGGCCTCGGCATCATCGCCATCTGAAGAAGGCAGACTGTGTCGCAGGCGCAGTCTCCTTGGCTCTCGTATCCTTCTAACAATCGGTGGTGATGAAGGGGGCGTGTCGATTAGCTTCTCCGAGTCGGACAGAGGATCTGAGGGATCTGAGGGTTCCGTTGCTGAGCTAGAGCGGCAGGGCTTGAAGTAGCTGAGGATGGAGCTCTTGGGGATGTTGCTCGTGTGTGCCGGGGGCGGGGGTGGGATGCGAGGGAGCTCTGGTTGTTTCGCGAGGACATCTTCAATCACGATCTTTTGTTTCTTGGCCGGCTTCGAGGTTGGTTCGTCTTCGGTTGCTCGCGACCGCTTGCTGTATGTTCGCAAGGCGCGTCTGAACGGCATTAGTTAGCGGTGCGCGACAGAGTGCTGGAAGACTTCGTACCGTTTCTCGGTTGTTGGACGAGAACTATCGCGTGAAATTGAGGAGACTTCAGTCTCCTCAGGCTGTTCCATTGTTCGGATGAAAACCTCGAGGGCTGTTTTGTCGTCGGGTGGAAGTTGAGATTTGGTAGAACGCGACGCGACGCGCGTGGGCTGTGTTATTGTAGACGAGACACGCCCGTAGAGGTTCTTGAAAGATTAGAAGAGCATGCCGATATGTCGAGGGTATGAGTGCGATCAAAAGAAATGACAATACGCCTACACAGAAGCAATAAATAGAGACGGACGGGTATCAAGGTCGAATGTGTGGTGGTGTCTTGCCTTTGCCTCGCAGGGCGATGGCAGATCGATCGAGAGCTTTCGGGGCCCCACCGAAGCGCGTCGCGGCAGGAATGACGTGCATCGACCGCGTCGAGTCGCGTTTTCCACCCACCAAGGTCACGTGTGGCGCCTGCATTCGCGCCCAAACGCTTGCGATATTGGAAAATGACATGGATTAGGTTTAATGGGCAAATGTCAAAGTGCAGGGGGTGCTAATCGGCGAGATCTTGTGCTCTCCGGCCCCGCTTGCCGGGTCACAACCGGACACGAGAAGCGGCGGCGCCGAGTTTGTTGGTTCAGATGGTGACACGACGTGAACTTCGCCTACTCTTCTCGGAATTACATTCAGCAGTCGGGGCAAGTAATCAACATCATTGCCTGGAACGCATAGACTGGTTATTGCCATCTGGATGGTTGATATTGATCCCACGGCCAAGCAGCAGGCTGCTGCTCAGTAAGAAGCTTGCGGCACATTTGGATGACCTCCACATGCACATATATGCGCATTTTCCCGTTGCCATTGAACTCTTGATAATTCGATATTAATAAACGGCTATGTCGAGCCCTTCAGTCGTCGCCGTATACCCTCGTCCGTATCTTGCGTCTTCGTGTCGAGCAACACAGTGTCCCCGTCGCCCGTCTTTTCGTCTTGGCCCACGACCCATGTTTGCATCACCTCCCTGATTTCTTTTGGCTCCTTCCGACTCGCCTTGGCCTCTGTCATTCTCCAGACGTAGCCAGAGTACACGGCGACCTCAGCGATCAACACCACGATGCATCCACCCATAGTCAAGAATATGCGAGATGTGAGGCTCCACCAGCGAGCCGCGATCCAGATTGTCGCACCCACGCCGACGACGCTCAAAAGGAAGTTGAGAATGACCATGACCTGCTTTTGAACATCGCCGAATGTAACTTCGTCGTCGCCGTTGTCGGATTCGCGCATCGGCCGGTTGACCTCGGCGAAGACGTGTGCCCTGGAAGAGGCGTTCGGAAATTGTTGCGAGAAGGCTTCCATTCGGGAGGGCTGCTTCAACATGCGCTGGTAGGTTCGCTCTTCCTCTTCGCGTCGTAGGCGGGCCATGAGGGCCTTGTACTCGTCGGACTGCGGTAAAGTTATTAGTTGAAGAAGGCGAACCGACACGATCGGGGTCCCTTACCGGTTCAGGTTTTGGTGGTGGCGGCGGGATGTACACCTTTGATCCTCGCAGCAAGCTTTCCAGGGTGAAGCCATCGACCCCTTCTTGCTTGAGGTTCCTCCATAGATCCAGTATCTGACTGTGGGTGATGGGGTTTCCGACAGCAGGCTCCTCAAGACTCGGCTCTTCTGGTGTTGAAGGATTGCCCGCTGTTCCTGATGCAGGTGTTGGCTCTGGCGTTTGATCTGCATCGTCTATCTTTGCTTCGTGGGTTTTCGCATCGTCCATCTCCGGCCTGGCCTCAGCCAGCTTCTGTAGACCCTCCACGATGGAAGGCGACATCGTGAGCCGTACCATGTTGTCGATGTGCTCGTGCCGCTTCACGATAACAATCCGGAGAACGATGGTTTGCAGCCCAGACGAATGACTGTAAGATCGGGGTAATTGTGTTGCTTCTCCAAAGTCTTGACTACAACAACACGGTTGGAAAGTCCAGGTCCCTTTCCGATGCGACACCGAGGCAGGCACACAGCACAGCTTGTCATCCAAGCAAGAAGCCTGATCAGCCAATCACGGCGCCTCTGTCCCGCCACTTTCCCCAAAAGGTACGTAGCTGACCAGCTGTGCCTGGATCGCCCAGCAGCTCGTCCCGCGGTACGTACCTTACCTAAGAGCCACAGTGGAAGGGAAGGACCGGGCTTGGTGCGGCCTGAGATGGAAAGCGGGAAAAAAAAAGTCATCAAGTCGTATCATCACCACTCGCCTCCAGCTGCCAATTGCCACAACCACGGGTCTTGAGTGCGTCAAAACGATACAGATGCCGTCGGGATCTCTGGCGACTTTCTACTCTCTCCATTGAAACCCTTTGGAGCACTACCGGAGCCATGCAGCTCCGACCGGGAGCAGCGGTGCTGCGCAGCACCTACACCAGAACGTCACGATCTCTCCTCCCCTCCTCCCGATGCGCCCAATGTAGGCGGATTGCGCCCCTCGATGCCCGGTTACCCGTGACCGCCGCCCTCTACCACTCTACACCAAACCGAAATTCAGCATGGGGTGCTGCTGTATCGGTCGCCTCCAACATCGCCTCCAATGCTATTAATCGGGTGGTGCCGAAAGGCGACATGCACATCGACCCGCTGCGGACAGTGGCCAAGGAGATGAAGTTTCTGACGGGCAACATTCGCAAGCTGCTCGGCTCAGGTCACCCGTCTCTAGACCGTGTTGCCAAGTACTACACACAGGCCGAGGGGAAGCACATGCGACCCTTGATTGTCCTGCTGATGTCAAGAGCGACAGCGCAGTGCCCCAAGGGTCCCCGCATGCAGCCCCCCTCCGGCGGTGTTGATACTGCGATATCTCCTCCCGGCATTCTCGTCGATGTCAACCCCAGCTCTCCGCTGACTTCCGCCGAACCTATTGAGTCTTCGGAATCCGATATCCTCCCCTCCCAGCGCCGTCTCGCCGAGATCACCGAGCTGATCCACACCGCCTCGCTCCTCCACGACGATGTCATCGACCACTCCGTAGCACGCCGCGGCTCCCCCTCGGCGAACCTCGAGTTTGGCAACAAGATGGCCGTTTTGGCCGGAGACTTCCTCCTCGGAAGAGCCTCCGTTGCGCTGGCTCGCTTGAGGAATGCCGAGGTAATTGAGCTGCTGGCTACCGTCATTGCGAATCTCGTCGAGGGCGAGTTCATGCAGCTGAAGAACACAGCCCAGGATGAGCGCAAGCCGGTATACTCGGAGGAGACTCTGAGCTACTACCTGCAAAAGACGTACCTCAAGACGGCCAGTCTGATCTCCAAGTCATGCCGTGCCGCCGCTATTCTCGGCGGTTCGGATGCTGCTTCGGTCGAGGCCGCCTACGCCTACGGCAAGAACCTGGGTCTCGCGTTCCAGCTGGTCGATGACATGTTGGACTACACGAGGAGCGAGAAGGAGCTTGGTAAGCCGGCGGGAGCCGACTTGGAGCTGGGTTTGGCGACTGCCCCGCTGCTGTTCGCGTGGAAGGAGAACGCGGAGCTGGGCGCGCTGGTAGGTAGGAAGTTTGAGCAGGAGGGCGACGTGACAAGGGTAAGCTCGTCCAACAGTCCGGACGAAAGCTTAGCTAACATGGTTTCAGGCACGCGAGCTGGTTCTGCAGAGCGACGGTATTGAGCAGACGAGGGCATTAGCGCAGGATTACTCGGAGCGGGCGATCGCGGCCATTAGCGAGTTCCCGGACAGCGAGGCCAAGGACGGGCTCATTGAGATGGCCGTCAAGGCGTTGAAGAGGACGAAGTAAACGAGTGCGTGGTGGCAGCAGCGCGGTCGAGATTGATCGGCAGACCACACACACAAACCTGTACAAACAAAAACCTGGAATGCATGCATTATGGTATGTTGCATTCGACGTGTACAACAGAATCTCTGGGCTCTTTGGCGAGTACATGTAACGATATCATACAACGCTCTTAGACGGCGGCGCGCGGGGTGAGGGGAGGGTAAGGCATTCGGGACTCAGCGAGGTAAGGTAGAGGACCAACAACCTGCAGCTCAATACCACACAACTTTCCCATTTTGATACGAAACTCGACACAAGCCTGCGGACGCGGGGTTTCGGGGGTGGTGATGGAGCTGCCTCGACGTCGACTCAGCCGTCGGGGATTGAAGTGACTGCATGGCCAGAGTGGACGAGTGATTGGAGAGTTGGAATCTTTTACTCGATAGAAATGCAGTCATCCAGAAACTCAAAAGCCGACAAGGCCTCGACAGGGCCGACGGGTTCCTGAGAGGACGGCGACCTCCGTGGAGACGGTGTTTTCATTACGTTGCTCGTTCGTTTGCTTCGATGGCGCGAACGTGCTTGCAGCGCCCCGAAAGGGCCAGCATGATCAGACGCAGGGATCGGTCAGGGACCAGCGAAGCTTAGCCTGGCGGCCGGTCCCATGTTTCCCGCCTTCAGCCGATGAACTCTCCTGCTCAAGTCTCATCTGATCTCAGCTGCCGTGGACGAAGGAAGATTTTTATTTCTGACAGAGAAAAGAGGGAACATGAGTGAAGAAAACGAAAAGCATGTGCCAAGCACAGATCAAACAACGTCTTCCGCCGTCGGTGCTCTCGAAACGCGTTCCAGGACGGGGGTCGGAGGGCTGGGTGAACGGGAAAACGGCAGAAGAAGGCCCCGGGTGTCGGGGCCGGGTCGGTCAGTCAGCGAATGCATCGTCACCGCTTCACCAATTTCCTCGCGGATGGGCTAGTCGATGACTCGAGGGCACGGGGACGGCGGGGTTTTGCGTGGTAGGTGGTGCGTGATCACCGCCATCGGAGGCCCTCTCATTCGCCGCCCACCGTATCTAGGCCAGGCTTGGGTTGCCTTCATCGTGAATGTATCGAGTAAGAGCAAGCCCCCAGCCAACGGCGGCCAAGCCTGGTGTTGAACCCGTTACTCGATGCAGAATGCAAATTGTCCCAATGGCAAACACCACACGCAGCAGGTCTAGGCCAAGACCACGTCGCATCACATTCAGGGAAATTCTGCAGAAAAAGGAAACCCTAAGCAGAATCCACAGTTCCATTGCTGGCGCGCATGAACAGTGGGCGGGCCAGACTCCCCAAAGAAGCCATGTTGTTACTCGATCATTACTCGATCGAAACTCGCAAAGGCTGAAAGCTCGGTCCCTCTGTCGACGCCGGCGATGACCACCACAAAGCCAAAATCCCATCGGAAATAAAAAGAACAAAAATAAAGAAAGGAGGAAGCCCGAGGAAGCCTTGCCGAGAACGGCCGATGGACACCCCAGAGGTGGACTCATCTGCCCCCGTCACTGGGACGCGCTCTCATTGGACGGAGGCTGCTTACCAAAGCCTTCTAGATCGGGAAACGGCCTCATCCGATGGCGGCTGGCCAATCACAGGCTGCTGATAACAGCAATGAAGACATTCAGGGTCCCCCGGGGTGCGCGACTTTGGGAAGTCAAAGGAACTCAGGAAGGCTTCGATAACGCACCCCACGGCAGCCAAACACGAGGGGTGTGGGAGGTCTCGGCCTGTGATTTCGTTGGCTGACGGGCGGCCGTTCTTTCCCTTTGTCGTGTGTCCTGCTTGTCAGAGCAAATGTTATCTTATCGGGACATCGGGACGGGACTGAGAATGGAAGCTGGGGAGAAGGGGGGCAATCAGTGCGGCCTGGAACGAAGGACGGGATGGCTGTGGTGAGCGATGGGCGAGGCGGTGGGCTGTGGATCGACTGACGGACGACTTCTTTCTGTGAGATTGTCGTCGACGCTCTCTCCCTCTTTTTTTCTCTCTCTTCCTTCTCTTCCTCATTTTCTTCTTCTCCCACACACAAAATACCACACACCTGTAAATGCTGGGAGTTTTGAGTTCATAGAGTTTCGTCAGATACCCAACATCACTCACTCGTCTTGACTCTCACCTCTTATCACAAGCCACGCCGCAACAACCGTCGTCGAGCTCTTATCTCGATCACCCCGCCACCAACACCCCGCGAGAGATAAGCTCGCAGCACCCCCAGAAACCATCTTTTTGAACCTGGGGAAGCTCACAGCTCCCTAACCACCCTCATATCTTATCACCGGCCCCCAAAGCTCTTATCGGCCCTTCACCATGACAGCCCCCGAAGAGCTAGCGGCGCCCCTCGTCGTCCTCGTCTCGACACGCGCAGTCCTCACCGTTGAGGACAACCTCGTCCTCACTCCCGCCACAATCACAGTCTCCCCGTCCACCGGCAAGATCACAAACATCATCCCCGCCGTCCTGCCCAAGACCTCGTTCCCGGCGTCGACGGTGTACATCAACCACGGCAACAAGCTCCTCTTGCCCGGCCTCGTCGATGCTCATGTTCACCTCAACGAGCCCGGCCGCACCGAATGGGAGGGTTTCTGGACCGGCACCCGCGCCGCGGCGTCGGGAGGCGTCACCACCGTCGTCGACATGCCGCTGAACGCCATCCCGCCCACCACCACCGTTGCAGGCTTCAAGGAGAAGCTCGCTGCCAGTCAAGGACAATGCTGGGTTGACGTCGGCTTCTACGGCGGCGTGATCCCCGGTAACGCGGATGAGCTCCTACCTCTTGTCGAGGCTGGAGTGCGAGGATTCAAGGGCTTCCTCATTGAGTCCGGTGTAAGCAACAACCCTTGCCTGAGACAGATGCATCAACTAACACAATCCAGGTCGACGAGTTCCCCGCCGTCTCATCCTCTGACGTCGCCCTCGCCATGAAGACCCTCAACGGCACCCCGACGACGCTGATGTTCCACGCCGAGATGATACCGCCCATCGCAGACTCCGTCGGCGACGCCGTCCAGCAGTCCGAGCCCCCGGCCGCGCCCACAGGCGAACTCACCTCTTACAACACCTTCCTCGAGTCCCGACCCCCTTCCTTCGAGACCTACGCCGTCGACGAGATCCTATCTCTAGCGCACCTCGCCCCGGACCTGCACCTACACATCGTCCACCTCTCCGCGACGCAGGCCATCCCGCTCCTCCGCGCCGCCCGCAAGAGCGGCATCAACATCACCGCCGAGACGTGCTTCCACTACCTCGGCTTCGCGTCCGAGGACATCGAGGACGGCGACACGCGGCACAAGTGCTGCCCGCCGATCCGCGAGCGCTCAAACCGCGACGGGCTGTGGGAGGAGCTGGTCGCGCCGGACTCGTGCATTCGCACCATCGTCTCGGACCACTCGCCCTGCACGCCGCAGCTGAAGCTGCTTCCGGCGAGCCTCGAACCGACGACCGTCACGAGTGGCCAGGACAGCCCGCCGCTGAACATTCACCACTCCGATTCCGGTATTGACATGACGATCCCCGGGGAGAGCGTCGACAAGATCATCGCGGAGAAGCTGGTGGAGGAGCAGGCTGTCGCGACGGCGGACGCGAGCGCGCGGGGCGACTTCTTCGCTGCGTGGGGCGGTATTTCGTCCGTGGGGTTGGGGCTGCCGATCGTGCACTCGGCGGCGCAGGCGCGGATCCGGGAGGGCGGGGAGGGGGCGGCGCCGGGGATCGTGGATATCGTGCGGCTGTGCGCGCGGGAGACGGCGGCGCAGGTTGGGTTGGGACATCGCAAGGGAGCGTTGAAGGTCGGGATGGACGCGGACGTGTGTGTGTTTGATGATGCGGATGTGTGGACGCTGCGCAGCGGGGATATGCGGTGGAAGAACAAGTGCTCGCCGTGGGAGGGCAAGGAGTTTACTGGACGGGTGCTGGAGACGTGGGTGAGGGGGCGCAAGGTGTGGGAGTTTGGGGGTGCGAATGGAGGGTTTGTTGAGGGCAAGCCTGTGGGTGAGGCTATCGTGGAGAGGAGGACGAAGTGAGGATAGAGAGGGGCTTTTTGCACGGATGGAGTTTTGTAGCGCGCATTTTGGTAATGATGATATCTTGGATAAGGCTTGAGCTCTTTTCTTGGTAGATTGTAATGAGGATATCGTTGACGAGTCCAACTGCTTACTTCCGTGGCTGTTCTTGATCATAATTATCGCGTGTTCGAAGTTGGCGCAACCATACTTGGAGGCATAAAACATAGAAAGCAATGTAGCCTGGATCTTAACGCTGTCCAAGATGCCCATCACTTGATAGACTTAGGATAGGTTGAAATCGATCCCCTTTCTGCTTGAAAGCAGGCTGCCATTCCATAAGAATTTTTGAAGAAACCAGTATCGTTTGTGTGTGTATGCGACTTGATTTCCTGTGTGAACGGAGATGAATGTCGCCAGACACTCGTTGAAGCGGACATGAAGAATCCTCACACTAGTGAAGACCGGAGTCTCTCGCGGACCATCGAGTCATGAAGCTCACGATGATCCAGATAGCGGACGCCGTTGGAACCAGCCAATCGAGGACGTGCGTGGGGTAGTGTTGTTGGAGGGCAATTAAAGTTATCCGAGGTGCTCGAGGCGAGGGGGACGCGATCTCCCGGGCATGCATTCTGCCGATCAGTCAGGTCTCAGCCCAGCTCATGACAGACATTGCGGCGCTCGGTTTGTGGTTTTTGTGTTGGTGGCGCGGAGATGACCGACCGCCGGTACATTTCTTGAGAGATTCCCGCTGAAGAATCAATCGGTGGATGGCTGCGCTCAAAAGGTAGAAGAAAATTCCCGTTGGATAATCGGTGAGAGGCCGGGCCACAGACCAGTCGCCTCGACGAGGGAGATGAAGATGGAGATGATAGAGACGTGCGGAGACCTGGAGTCGGCCTCGCTTGCGAACCGAGGATGCTGCCACCCGGGCTGTCAAACTGGCGGCGTCTAAGCGACGTGGGGCCGGACTTGGCCTCGTGGGGCTCTTCTTTGGTTCTTTGAGGTTGAGATTGAATCGGGAGAATTTGACGAGTTTGGTTCCTGATTTCCAAACGACGACGCGCAAGCTGGGCTTTGAGGTGGTATTGGGACATGAGACATTCTGAGCTGTGTGGCCTGGGAGACGATGTCGAAAACATGCTTACTTCCAAGACCAGAAGTCGCCATCTCACGTGGAATTGTGGCATCCCAAACAGTGGAAACTAGGCGTTTGTTTGTCATTCGTCGCACAGAATAGCAAATTGCTACGTAGATACTGCAGCAGTGACAACAAGGCACTTCATGACAGTCGACCATCGCCGTCAACAAGTCGCAACGTCCAGGGACTCCGTGATCCACGCTTCAGTGGGTTCACAGCATTTCGTTTGCTGAAGCTCCGGTGCAGGCTCCGCTCACTTGTTGCGGCCCCCAGGCATCATCGCCCGTACGCTTCTAAGCGAGTACCACCTTAACCGAATGATACGAGCTAAGCGAGGCCAGGGGTCCAACGGGTTTTCAGGTACGTACTCGGATCCCCCGTGCAGGCAAGCGAGCAGTGGAGGGAGAGAGAAGGTGCACCCCGGGAGCAGTCGCTGCCGCTGGTTGTTTTCTGTCAGTGACATGCGTTTTCTTGATGAGGAAACAACTTGTCGATGGGATGGCGGTTTCCAATCTCCAGCCAGCAAGCCTCAAGCCAGGGAAGAAGAGACACGATCTGCCAGATGGCTTGGTCTCAGCCTGTCAATCTCACAATGTCCGATCCATCAACAGCAGATCAGTCACTCTGGCACGGATCCGAAGCCACGGAAAAGCGCAAAGACGCAGCGCAGATGCAAGCAAACGAGGTCCGAGGCCACACAGCACAGCACAGCTAGGGTTGCATCTTTCGACGGCCATCAGCGTGTCATTAACATGCGCCAACCGCCTGGGAATCTCCAAATCTCGCCATCCCTCCCAGCCCAGGAATCATTGACATTGGACACGCCTTAGCCCCATCCGTCGACCGTCACCCGTCGCCCAGTCGTCGACATGCCTCCCTTCCCCCATTTGGCTCGCCCTGCCCCTCCACCCACATGGCGTCTCTCAAAACGCCGTCCACCCATGTTCCTGTCGAGCAACCGAACTGGCTGGGTCGCAGTGCCAACGACCGCCTCCCGCACGCCGTCCGCGCTGTCATGGACGCCGTCAATGCAAGAGGCATGGGCATGGACCGCCAAAGGACAGCATGGAGAACAGACGTCTGCGCGCCAACAGACATAATGCCTCGGGACCGACCAACAGACGCCACACACTCTCCAATACGTTACGTCTATCAACTATGTCGCCATGGACCCCGGCGGCCCGTGACTGCAACCGAAGACGAGGGGCGGGGCCCTGTGGACTGCGGGACTGAGTGTGTGGACTCGTGTGGAGGGGAAAAGCAATGTGCAGCTCTGATCCTGGCTTGGCCTCCTCGCTTCGCCCTTCGCCTGCACGAGAAACGAAGCACTCAAGCACTCTGACCGGATCTCAACGCTCGTGCCGGGGTCTTGGACGGTGAGCCGTGAGCTCGAGATCGACCACCAGCATACGGAGGGAGGGAGCTCGAGGTTGCATCCATCACCCAGCCGCATCTCACTTTTTATCTTCGTCGTGGCGCTTTTTGTCTTCCTGTCAACCAACCATTCTTCACATGGTTTCGGTAGATATCTTGTCTATTGCTGCGGGCTGACATTTGACTTCTTTGCGACTCCTCCGACCCTTTCCTTCGTCCTCGATCAACGCCGGATAGTCTGCACGCGATTTGTTCCTCCAGACGGGTTTAATCTCGGCGATTCGAATCGAAGCCTCGCCTTGAGAACCAGGCGACTTTCGGCGCCTTCATCCCCAAACAGAAGTTCGTGGTCGCTTTCCTTCTCGAAGCAGCTACTAGTGAGACATTCTCATACGCCGTCATCTTCTCACCTCGCGGCTCGACACGTCGTCTCCATCGCCAATCCGAACCCGTTATTAGTCCAGCTGCCGCTCCTGCTGTCAGCTTTTCCGATCGTCTTTTAACCTGTGCCCCTCGACTACATCGACTACATGGTTATCGCCAAGATCTTACCGTCCACTTCCTGGCCCAACCAGCAACGTTGAAGAGGCAGTATGCCCAGCACGAGAACGAGTTAGAGTGAAAAGTCGCCGAGGCTGTTCTCGCCATGTTAGAACCAAAAGCAAATATGGCTGCTGACCACAAGCTGTCGCAAACCACTCCGCCAGCCGACGATCAACCTGCTGTGGTCGACGTTGACAAAATCGATCGCGCAAGCTCCGTCGACACAACGATGGACCAAAATACGCTGGCTGATCAGACGGGTCTGGCGCGCCGATTCTCTCTCTCCGGCGCCGGCCACATCTCTCTCGACGATGTTGAGGCTGTCGACGTTCAGATTCGCGACCTGGCAGTGAGCGTGGACACCTCGCCTTCATGGTTCGACCCTGCAACATACTTAGAGCTTGCAAAGGCAAAGTTTAACCCCCAGTCGAGCTCCAAAACCTTGTTGCAACATGTCAGCGCTTCCCTGCCCGCCGGGACCCTGACAGCCATCATCGGCGGAAGTGGCTCCGGCAAGACGACGCTGCTCAACACCATGTCGGAGCGTATGTTCAGCACTCGATTGTCGCAGGGCGGGTCTATTACTTTCAATGGAAACGAGGGCGTACACAATGCTCGCCATGCGTATGTCATGCAGCAGGACATTCTTCTGCCGACCTTGACTGTGCGTGAGACACTGCAGTATTCTGCTGACCTGCGATTGCCGCCGCCAACGACCGCCGAGGAGCGACGGCGCATCGTCGAAGAAGTCATCCTGGAATTGGGACTGAAGGAATGCGCCAACACAAGAATAGGAAACAACCAGCATCGCGGCTGTTCTGGGGGTGAAAAGAGGAGGGTCAGCATTGGCGTGCAGCTTTTGGCAAACCCTTCGGTAGTTTTTCTCGACGAACCTACAACCGGTCTTGATGCGACGAGCGCATTCCAGTTGGTACGAACTTTGAAGAAGCTGGCCACGAAGGGAAGGACGGTCATCACCACGATCCACCAGCCTCGATCCGAGATTTGGGACCTCTTTGACAACCTGATCATTCTCACCAAGGGCAGCCCGGTATTCTCTGGCCTTGCCAAGGACTGCGTACCATGGTTCGAGGGTATGAATTTCAAGCTTCCCCCATTCGTCAACCCGGCCGAGTACGTTATCGATGTCGCTGCCATTGACAACCGCACACCTGAGCTCGAGGAAGAATCGACAGCTCGAGTTGATCGCCTGAAGGCGGCGTGGAACCATGAGAGCCAGCGAAAATACGCGCCATCGGAAAAGGCCGTGGAGACATCAGGCCGTAGACAGAGTCTCAAGTCTGCGACCACGAAGCATGCCACATATGGCCGACAGCTTCGCGTGTTGACCGATCGAACTTTCAAAATCACCTACCGCGACCCCATGGGCATGGCCGCCGCCATCATGGAAGCCATTTTGATGGCAATCATTACCGGCTACATCTTTTACGATCTGCCTAAGGACCTATCTGGTATCCGATCTCGGCAAGGTGCACTCTACACCATTTCCGGTCTGCAGGGTTACCTGATGCTCGTGTTTGAGGTGTACCGCCTCACATTGGACATCCCGACATACGACCGCGAACACAGCGAACACTGTGTTGATGCCATTCCTTTCCTCCTTTCACGCCGCCTCGCCCGGCTCTTCACCGAAGATCTCCCTGTGCCGTTTCTTTTCTCGGTCATCTTCTACTTCATGGCCGGCTTCGACAACGACGCCACACAGTTCTTCACCTTCTTTGCCATCACCCTCATCAGCCATTACATCGCAGTCACATGCGCCATGACGTGTGTGACAGCATCTCGCAATTTCCCGGGCGCCAGTTTGATTGCAAACATGGTGTTTACCCTGCAAAGCATGGCTTGCGGATATTTCATCCAGTCCAACACGATACCGGTCTATGTGAGATGGCTCAAGTGGATTACGTATCAGGTAATGTCATCACAATACTTTCAAGATACGATCACTAACACCTGCAGTTCTACGGGTTCGGCGCTTATTGCGGCAACGAGTTCACAAACGCGCTGTATGATTGTCCCTTTGAGGGGGGGTTCTCGAATCCAGAGTGCAACCAGTATACCGGTAACTTTGTGATGAACTCCCTGGGGTTTCCGCCGAACTGGACCTGGCGCCCAATTATCATAATGGCTTCTTTCGTCGTCTTCTTCTGCCTGATATCTGCCTTTGGCCTTCAGTTTATCAAGCAGGAGATGACCATCGCCCGCGCCCGGGTTTCCGACACCGATCTGTCGGCAGGCAAGGAAAAGATGAAAGTACGCTCCATCTCGGAAATGCGCACTATCGATGTTGGCCTGGATGAATTTGCCTTGGACCTGGATAAGAGAGCTCCATCGGGGAAGAAGCTTCCAAGAAAGACCATTCTCAACCCAGTCAACACGACCTTCCAGGCTGGAAAGCTGAACATCATCATGGGCCCTTCGGGCAGCGGCAAGACTTCCCTTCTGAACGCCATGGCCTTGCGACTTCGCAACAGCATCGGCACGCGGTACCTGCCGTCCGGCAAGCTGACTTTCAACGGAGCTGCTCCGTCCAACGCGGTGATCCGTTCCGTGTGCTCCTATGTTTGTCAGGATGATGATGCGCTATTGCCGTCTCTGACTGTTCGCGAAACTCTTCGATTCTCAGCTGGTCTCCGCCTACCCTCACACATGAGCAAGGACGAAAAGTGCCGACGCGCGGAGGAAGTGCTCCTTAAGATGGGTCTTAAGGACTGCGCGGATAACCTCGTCGGAAACGAGCTGGTCAAGGGTATTTCTGGCGGCGAGAAGCGACGGGTCACCATCGCCGTACAGCTTCTCAGCGATCCCCGAGTGCTCCTTTTGGATGAGCCTACCAGTGGTCTAGACGCCTTTACGGCCAATTCCATCATGGAAGTGTTGCAAGGTCTCGCCAACGAAGGCCGGACGCTCATCTTGACTATCCACCAAGCTCGTTCCGACCTGTTCCAGCACTTCGGCAACGTCCTTCTCCTCGCTAGAGGTGGCTCCGCAGCGTACGCCGGGCCAGCAAAAGACATGCTGGCGTATTTCACCCGCCAGGGATTTGAGTGTCCTGCGCACAGCAACCCTGCCGACTTTGCACTTGATCTCATCACCATCGACCTGCAACACGAGCAGAGAGAAGCTGAGAGCCGTGAAAAGGTCAGAAAGCTTGTCGAGGCATGGCGAACACAATCTGGCAGCGACCTTCAAGAAACGTTGGATAAGCGCCTCCCGGGCATCGAAGAAGGCGAAGAGGGCAACTCCACGAAGTCGGTAAAGACGCAAAGCCTTGATGCCAAAGCAGATGAAGCTCAAGACGCCATTACAAAATCACCCTCTAATGTTCCCTCCATTCCCCGGAAATCCTTCAACAAGGCGTCCCTGGCCACTCCTGCAGAACTAGGCGCCCTGGTCCGCAAACGCGCCTCCTTCGTCACGGCCTTTCCCATCCTCTTGCATCGAGGCCTCATCAATTTCCGCCGGCAGCCACCACTCCTCGTCGCACGCATAGCGCAAGTGGTGTCCCTTGGCATCGTCCTCGCTCTCTTCTTTGCACCGCTCAAGAAGGACTATTTTTCGGTCCAGAACCGCATGGGTTTCATCCAAGAAATCGCCGCCTTCTACTTCGTGGGGATGCTGCAGAACGTCGCCGTGTTTCCCGCCGAGCGCGACGTCTTCTATCGCGAGGACGACGACGGAGCGTACAGCGTGGAGGCCTTTCTTGCTGCCTACTCTGTCCTCGAGTTCCCGTTCGAAATTATTAGCTCCCTCATCTTTGGTGTGCTGGCAGACTTCGCAGTCGGTCTCCCGCGGACGGTGGAGATGTACTTTGTCTGCTCCTTTGCCTGCTTCGGCATCGTTTCCTGCGGCGAGTCGGTGGGCATCATGTTCAACACGCTTTTCAATCACACCGGTTTCGCCGTTAACATCATCTCCGTCTTGATGTCGGTCGCAAACACTATGGCGGGTATCATGTCTATTGACATGCCGCGGCTGTACAAGATCTTCAACTACCTGTCTCCGATTAGATATGCCACGCGCGCAGTCGCGCCGTACAGTCTACGAGGCATCGAGTTTTCCTGTAATGACGACCAGAGGCTGCCCAATGGGCAGTGCCCAATCGAGACGGGCGAGGAGGTTTTGCAGCTATACAAGTTCAACGTCAACCCCAACGTCAACATTGCGGCGTTGGCGGGGTGCGTCATCATCTACCGCATTGTGGCGTGGGCTCTCCTTCGCGCTGCGAGGACGCGTTTAGACAAGTTGAAGGGAAAATGAAGTTCCATCTTGATGCGGCTTGATATTTAGAGATTAGCATAGCGGATACCTCATGATTTGATCACAATAGTAATACCGCAAGTTCACAACTTACCTGCCCTTCCTTCTACCGGCTCAACGTGCCGATCATGTGTCTCCGCATCAGTGCGCAGCCATCCAGAATCAGACGAACAGCCGAGCAAAACGCCCGATAGCCGAGCAGTTGCAGCAGCGCTGATCCCGGTCCGTTGGGACCTCCACTCGCACCCGATACGGAAGCTCGAAGCTCTGCGAAACGGCCCCGCACAAGCTTAGCTTTGCTTTCGTGCTCGTCAGAGGTTTCGGCAACGGGGCGATAGCGGCCGATTTGTCATAGGCGAGCACATCATCGATTCGCCTTATCTTTGTGTCTTCTCTTGTCCAGCAAGCTCTTTGTCTTTTTCTCCTTCCTTTTTTTCCTCTCATCTGCAATTGACTCGGTTCAATTGGGACTTGGCTCACTTACTAGGGAATCCAAACGGCTGCGACCGAGACAAACCATGTCTGAGAAGCTCCCCTTGACCAACGACGGCCCGCCGGCCTCGGCCCCGCGTCGCGCATCGGCGTGGTGGTCCCTCCTCCCGGCCGCCCTCCTCCTGACATACCTCCATTCCCCGTCCGCGATCCCAATCCCCTCCTTCACCCACCCCAGCGCCGGCTCGTCCGCCGCGCCGGCCTGCCACCAGGTCGACCCCCTCTTCCCGACCCTCACTACCGCGGCCCTCTCCGACTTGGACAAGTTCCTCGACACGCCCAAGTTCCGCAACGAGACCATCGCCCGTCTCTCCGGGGCCATCCAGATCCCCACCGAGTCCTTCGACAACTACGGCAATGTCGGCGTGGATGACCGCTGGGACAAGCTCTTCGCCTTCTCGGCGTACCTCAAAAAGACCTTCCCCAAGGTCCACGAGCAGCTCTCCCTCGAGCGCGTCAACACCCACGGCCTGCTCTACACCTGGACCGGCTCCGACGCCTCCCTCAAGCCGACCGTGCTGATGGCCCACCAGGACACCGTCCCCGTCGCGCCCACCACCATCGACAGCTGGACGCACCCGCCCTTCAGCGGCGCCTACGACGGCTACTTCGTCTGGGGCCGCGGCGCCATGGACTGCAAGAACTCCCTCATCGGCATCCTCGAGTCCGTCGAGCTGCTCCTCGCCGCCGGCTTCGCCCCCAAGCGCACCGTCGTCCTCTCCTTCGGCTTCGACGAGGAGATCTCCGGCGAGCGCGGCGCCGGCCACCTCGCCCCCTTCCTCCTCGAGCGCTACGGCAAAGACGGCGCCGCCATCCTCATCGACGAGGGCTCCGGCTTCGACTCCCAGTGGGGCCAGACCTTCGCCCTCCCCGGCACCGCCGAGAAGGGCTACATCGACGTCGAGGTCGTCGTCCGCACCCCCGGCGGCCACTCCTCCATCCCGCCCCCGCACACTGGCATCGGCATCCTCTCCGAGCTCGTCACCAAGATCGAGGGCAGCCCCTACAAGCCCGAGCTCCTCGAGGGCAACCCGTACCTCGGCAAGCTGCAGTGCGGCGCCTCGTACGCCCCGGAGTTTCCCTCTAACCTGAAGAAGCTCCTCCCCTCGGGAAGCCAGAAGACATGCAAGCGCAGGTCGGACAAGCTCGCCGAGGAGGCGGCCAAGGCCGGCCCGCAGGTGAAGTACCTCTTCACGACCTCGGTGGCGACGGACATCATCGAGGGCGGGGTCAAGATCAACGCGCTGCCGGAGCGGGTGCGCGTCGTGGTCAACCACCGCGTCAACGTCGGCGACAGCACCGAGTCGGTCAAGAAGCACATCGCCGCGCTGGTCGCGCCCGTCGCGGAGAAGTACAACCTGACGCTGCACGCGTTCGACGGCAAGGAGACGCCGTCGAGCATTTCGCTGAGCGGGAACGACAAGAAGCTCGAGCCCGCGCCGGTGACGCCCACGAGCGTGGAGGGCGTGACGCCGTATGGCGTGCTGAGCGGGACGACGAGGGCGCTGTATGGCGAGGAGGTGGTTGTCTCGCCGGGGATCATGACGGGTAACACCGACACGAGGTACTACTGGGACTTGACGGCGCACATTTTCAGGTTCTTGCCTGGGTATGATCCGGAGAGTGATGAGTGGGCGGGTATTCACACCGTGGATGAGAAGACGAGTGTCAAGGGGCATATTAACTTGGTCAAGTGGTACACCTCGTTCTTGAGGAACGTTGACGAGGCGGAATTTGCGTAAACGAGGTGGCGACGATAATTGTCACCCGACTATGAGCGCAGCACTGCGATCAAATAGGTCAAATATGGCTTGTAGGAATGAGTATAAATAACGTGACTGGGTTTTCTAGTAAGAATTGACGATTAATAAACCCAAATCATACTGAATAATGTTATCGGTGCGGCTTGTATCCATATTCGTCTGTGTAACCAGTGACGGCTTCAGAAGTTCAGGCAGGCAAGACCCGATATCACGCATATCTCGCGTTAGCAGGAAGAGTTGCCAAGCCAGCACACGGGGATTAGGCTGCATACGCAAGCATTACATTTCTGCCTGATCTGTTCACAAAGAATGTCGTCTTGACTCTTCCTCACGCTGTTGAAAACCCTTATCATCGTCATCATGGCTCTTGTAAAAGCTTGGTGGATGAAAGACTACGATGTGGCCCCCCCGGGCTGATGAGGACCATAATGAACCGTATCTTACCTGGCCGTGGAACGAGTCTCATCTTGGCATGCCGTTACACACTTTGGAACTTTACTTCGAGATGGTTCGAACAAAGACGACTTCAATATCCATCACCGGGGTTCGGTGGAGGAAAATGGGCTCGTGTGAGGCATCATAGGCATGACGCGAGGTGCTTGCCCGACTTATTGGACGTCGTCTGTCTGTGGCAGTTCACACGCAAGTCGGAGAGTAACCTACTGTACGTCGCCTCCTTCTCGTGATCAATCGCTATCATATGGCAATGCAGACATTAATCAGCCAATAGCATCGCTATCGAAATTTGCTCGAGAGTTGTACAGATATTGGGGTACTACATGGGCATACCACCAAGCTTCTTCAACTTCCACCATGTTCCTCGAAGTGTGGGATTGGATAACCCTTTGCGTATGTCCTCAGGCTTCGAGCGGGCTATCTCGTCCCACACTGACCTAGCCTCGCAGACATTTATTTCAATCTTCAACTCATGGACATATATCCTTCTGACGTCAAACCGGTCGAGTCAAAAAGGAGTCCAAACTCTCCAACCGCGAATTTCGAACAAGATCACACGTGGCTTGTGAGACGAATCGATTTTTTCTTTGTTTTCAATGAGTCCTTTTCGAGTAACATGCATCACCCGTCTATAGAGAAGTTTGGCGATTGCGGGTTGATTCTGCTAGACACCGCTGACGCGCTCATCTTTAAGGGGCTAAAAAGGCTTATACGCAGAGAAGGCTCGCTATCGGTGGGCGAGGAAGGCAATCAGGGGTTGAACAATATCATCCCTCAACTATTCCAGATAACTGCGCATAACTGGTCAATCTTCATCACTGAGGCGGAAGAGCGTTTAGAAAAGATTGTAAGCAGTGAGCTGATGAGACCATGCAAGCGGCAGCTAATGCCAAGTGCAAAACAGAGCCAGGCCAATCACAGCGCAACAGACGACACATGAACGCCAAAAAGAACTCTCAGTTTTTTTTTTCACAACTTCTAAGGCTCTGGGCAGGGGCCCGCAGCCGCGTCGGAAAAGCAGCCGGGGTTGCGAATTGCCTACGCCAGCACCAGACTGTTTCACGAAGTTCGGAGTTTGAGCCTCTTGGGAACTCTCTAAAACGAATCAAGTATGACTTTATACTCAAGAGAAGAGAATTGAGGACCTTGATGCGACCACTAAAGGTCTGGTCAATTTGGTAAGATGATGAATCACTCCGAAATATCAGAGTAAACGCGCTGATCCACGGACTTGCGAAGATCTTTCAGCTTGCATCGTTCTCGGACATGGCTGCGGCCATCCAGGAAACCAAGGCGTCGAATAGTCTCGCAGCCAGTATCCGGTGTGTAGCCTTACTCACTTTCTTCCACTTGCCGTCGCAAGTCGCTGGTAAGTTTTCGTTCTTCCCGGTTTCCAAGACGTCTCGCTAACGCTGGACACCAAATCAGAGTATCTACGGCATGAACATCTACGAGATCACAGTTGAACAAGCAGCCCATCGCATCTGGGAATATGTCCTGTTGTCATTTTCCCTAATGGGCCTCACTTTCTTGACATGGTACTTGTGGTCACGCGTTTCCATTGTTATACAAACAAAGCATCCCCGCCGTCAACAGAAATGGGGAATGTCAATGCCGCTACTCATAGGCTTTAGAACAGAAGGTCTCTTCGAATGCTGACGCTGGTAACGGTTGGACGGAAATGACATTGAGATGGATGCGAGAGGGGGGGACGATGGTCTTGACACGAAACATCAGTAGGCCCATGGAATCAATGTTTTCTCAAGTCCAACTTCTCCGAAACTGGCAGTGCGATCTTGTCAGGGGACTCGCAAGCTACGCCGAGACCCGATGCACACAACCTATGGTCTCCATGTCTCCATCTGCGGCACGCATTTCTTCGGGTTAGGTTCATTCGTTTTTAGAGGTTGGCTTATTGGGCCAGCTGGGTAGATAGCCGGGAGGAAACCACAACGATTCAGCGTCTGGGGCTACGGAGACTTACAGATGTCTATGATCAAGCTTGCCCAGTTTTAGCCGTCTTGGCTGGGGCATTCATCGTTGGTTGCCCAGGGCATGTGTTTTAAGTTGCGAAACCGAGCACACTAGCCCATCGCGTACTACTGCGGAGGCCACGGAGAGAGGCAATCGTCGTCGCCGTCGTCGGCAGGGGCCAAGAACCAAGGTCAAGGAAAATTAAGAAAAGGTAATCGATGATAGGAATAGAAGTAATGGCTGTTGCTGTGTCACGATGCATGGATCCCGTGGCATCTACTGCGGATGCGCATGTTCTCATCAGACAAAAAGGAATAGGGGAGCGACGCACAAACCAGGTCTACTCTATGTGAGACGTGCTAAAGACAAATGCGACACATGCGCACCACGCAGTCCCTTGACATCACTTGATATATATCTATTAGTATCTCTCGAAGAAAATCTCTCTTGCGTCGATAACCGATCACGAAATGGTTGTCATCCACCAATCACGACGGATGCTCAATCAGCAAGCAAAAAACGACAACATGAACGGAGAGGATTGGCTCTTCCACGGCGTACCCCAAGAGCTACGCAACAACATTTTCTCGCACCTTTTCGCTTCTACGAGACTCAGTCATGGGAAGCGATACGTCGATAAACTGAAACGAATCAGGATCAAACCAGCTCCCAATGCCCTCGCCATATTGCGAACTTGTCGAGCAGCTTATAACTCAATCGGAGACACCTGGATCGGCCATGTACTCTTCCATTTCGAGGATTCTGAGACGATGCTCGACATGCTGCTGTCGGCACCTCCTGGAACCATACCGAAAATCAGACATATGCGTGTTGTGGGCGACCCTCTCCAGCTGGCAGTTGACTACCCAAGACGCAATGACCTCTGCGTTTTCTATCAGTTAGCCTCTGTTCTCAAGCTTCTCCCGAATCTATGTTTGGAAACACTCACTGTGCTTGGTACTCGATCTCCCCCGATAAGTTACAGCACTCTCACGGGTCTGATCAGTATAAGCTATGGATGGAAGGAGCTTCGATATATCAGCCATAGCTCCGCGCTGCTAGGTTACGGACCGTTCGGCGCGATGGCCAGGGAACCAGCGAGTCGCCTGGATCTGGTAGCCCATATGGACGAAGCCGTGCCATTCGGTCATGTATTCCATGACGAGTCAATCATGGATAGATATCTGCGATGGCCTCAGCCGTACACGTGGCAAAAGTTATTGAACGATCGGGATGACGCCGCTACTGTCACCATCTATCGCTCAACCGTTTCTGGGAAAGCATGCAACGTCCTTGATACAAGCACGCGTGCTCCAATTTCTCAGGATACGGGTTTGCCGGGAAATTTCGGAGTTCAGAGACAGTTTATGAATGGGGGGGAGAAGAGGAAAGAAATCATGGTGATTGTTGAGAGAAGACGAGAAGAGGATCACAGACACAGCGAAAGCCTCTCACTTAGTGGAAATGACATTCGGCAAAGCGATATTCAGGAAGATTTTGGCAGCAAAAGTTGGACACACATTCGCAAATGGGGTTTGGAAGAACCAGCTAACAGCTTGTTGCGCATAAGAGCACGCATCAATGACCCTGACGTACACGAGATCAGAGAGGAAGACAACGATGAGCCCGTGGAAATTGAGGTCGACGCATACGATGATGTCGATCATTATATTTGGCCTCCAAAACACTTCACAACGCCGCCGAAGTCGAAGCGTTGGCGCCCTATGTCGGATATGATGTACTACGCCATGGGGGGCGCGCACACCTTGGAGGAAGCCGAGCAATGGTGAAGCGCTCGTGAGAGTGGCTGTGCTTGCCTTTTGGTGTACCAGATGTGAGAATCGAGGAGTTCATATGTCCTCGCGCCCTGTCATACTGGAGAGTATTCCTCGATCGTATTTCAACTTTGGAATGTCATATAACTACCGACTCATAATCTGAGGAAGCGCTCTACATTGGCTGTACTTGAACAATTCTCATGTCGGTAGCAGGCCTTGTCATAATCCCCAGAGACTCTATCGAAGCTTTCTAGGAAGGAGAAGACATCCCCAGTTCGTCATCGATACTTCTTTGATTCTTGTAAAAACTTCCTTGCGGGGACTTTCTGCTCAAATAGCTGATTGAGAACTTCGGGCGACATGCCCTTAATCTCTGGTAGCCGAAAGAAAGCCCAGACGATTAACAGCAACGTGAACGCCCCCGCAGGGAAGGCTGCCTTTCCCTTCAAATTAGCCTCTTGTGGGTTCAACAAGTACGGAGATGCGATGGTGTTGATAATTGAAAGAAAGTAATAGGTGTTCCTCCCAAGCGAGATTGTCTTTACCCTGATATTGGTTGCACCAATATTGGCAGCGATGCCGTAAGGTACGGGTCCAATGCTTGCACCTGGTCGGCACATCAGCTTGGGCTCACCGGTCGATGGTGCGCAGAATACTTACCATAAATGAAGAACCAGACCAAAAGCATGGCGCACTGGGCCCATCTCACATTGTCTCCGGAAGGCGTGTTTGTTGACAAGTCAAGGAAACCGACCAGAGACATGACCGGGAACATGGCAATTAGCCCACCAAGATACATCGTACGCCAACCGAATTTTGTCATCAAAGCCCACGACGACACTGTTCCTACGAACGCAAGACCAGCATTGCCTGTAAGGTATCCCTGGTCAGCGAGATTGCATTTGAGCCGGGACCGAACTCACCTATTGACAGATTGAAGGAGTCCGACGAGTCGAGGCCAGCAAGGGTAAAGAAGTAGGTGATGTAGTTTTGGATGGCGAATCCGGGCAGGATTTGGCAGCCCCAGCTGACCATAGCAGTTTCTGTCCGGCGCAGGCTGTCACCTCTGAAGCAGTCCAAATATGACCCTTGGATGCTCATCAGGCGTTCCGCCTCAATTGTACGGAGAATTGTGGCAAGAGAATCTTTGGGATCAATGACTGTAATGGGCGCAGATACTAACCTGCGGAGGCTGTTTTCAGCCTCCTCAATTCGCCCCTTTCTTGCAAGCCACCAAGGGCTTTCTGGAGCTAGGTATGTGGCTATCATCAAAGGCAGAGGCCATATCCACTGGAGCGCGAAAGGTATCCTGTAGGACCATTCACCCTCTATCCTGCGTGTGCCGGACCAGACGCCAAAGGCCAGTATCTTTCCCATAACCCAACAGAGATTGACATAGACCGTGAGGTAACCGCTGAGTTGAGGGGGGCTAACTTCAGCGGCGTAAGAAGGGGTCGCGGCGGCAAAGAAACCACAAGGGAGGGATCTGTCATCGACAGGACTAAGTCAGCTGGACTTGCTTGCCCAAGGGTTACCCTGAATGCCACTTACAACAAGAGCATTCCAACTGTCAGAACCTCAACAGATGGCGCGAAAAATGTAATGAAAATGAAGCCGATCAAGGCAGCATGCGAAGCCATCATGACCTTTCGCAGGCCCCATCGATCTGCGCAGTAACCGTTGGCAAATACTCCGATGATCATGCCGACCAAGTTGGCCATTGACAGACCAGTTTGCCAGCGCGCCGGCACAGAATAGCTTCCATTTGGTAGCTACACGCCATAACTCTTCTGGAATTGCGGAAAGGCGTAGAACTAATTGATTAGAAGAAGGTCATATGACTCCATGATGGTTGCATTGGATACGCAGAGGGACCAGGCGACAGCCTTCCAGTAACAACGGAACGTCTTTCTCAAAGTCAAGGTTTCTGACCCTTGAGAAGCTGAACCTAGTTCATGAATGCCATCTTTGTCCGCAGAGTCTTCGACATGAGTTGTAGGGGGCTGGTCTTTCATGATGTTTCCTTCTTCCCTGCAGGCGTGAAATCAGTATGCAAAGAGAGGTCGGGATGCCCGTGATCATGACAGTCCAGTCTAAGATGTGGGGAGTTTACAGCTCTTATAATCATCGAGTGAATTTGTATCAATTACACGCCGGTAGATGTTATCCTTCACATCAAGCAAATTCCCTACTTCCTGTTCAGCTGGTCTTTTGCACAGTCGCGATGATGGGTGCCCCCTTGTAAGTTCCCACCAGATTGGTGGTGCGGAGACCCCACGAGGAACGTCATGAGAACCAGCAATTCAAGGCCAAGAACCCTGCCAGGTATTTTCTCAAGATGTTATGCAACGATATTTGCGAACGATACAAAGCATCGATGACAACGTCGGCAGAGTGCTCGACTGGCTAGAGTCCGAGGGCCTTGCGGAGAACACTATCGTCATTTACACATCTGACCAGGGCTTCTTCTTAGGTGAACATAGTTGGTTCGACAAAAGTTCATGTACGAAGAAAGCTTTCAGATGCCGTTCATGATCCGATACCCCAAGGCCATTAAGCCGCAGTCTGTGTGCAATGATATTATTTGCAACGTGGACTTTGCACCAACCTTCCTCGACTTTGCCGGTGTCCGGATCCCGAGCTACATGCAAGGGCGATCCATTCGACCTCTCCTCCTCGGAGAAGATCGAGTCGAGCCGTCTGGGCAGCAAGTGGCATACCACAGGCATTGGATGCATCGAGACGTAATTCACGAAGCCTATGCACATTATGGTGTGCGTGATCAGCGAAATAAGCTGATCCACTGGTACAACGAGGATTTGGGAATGGAGGGTGCGCGTCCGGGTGGGCAAGAAAAGGAGTAGGAGCTATTCGACTGCCACGAGGATCCGCTCGAGCTCTTCAACTGCTACAACGACCCCAAGTACTTAGACATAGCGAAGAAGATGACAAAGCTTCTTGATGAGAAGATGGCTGAGATTGGGGACGAACCGATACATACAAAGTTGGCCGGATCAAAGCTGCTCAACGGCGTCCACTGAAACCGCCGGGTTTTAGAGGCTAGTTGGATAGCTCCACGTTGCAGTTGCCTAAAGGAGTAGGAGCATGGGTCATGTGCCGGAGTATCAAGTCTGTCCGCGTTACCATCTCAATTAATAATACTAAATCTGAGCACCAACTATTGCACTTGCTTGATCTGGTAGGAGCAGATTCTGACGGTCAAGACTGATAATTGTGTAGTCACTGATCGACGAACATGATCGATGTATATATGGGCGCAAAAGCCCCAAGGCCTTGAGGTTTGAAGATTCATTATCAACCTCGAACAACAACCGCTACCTTCGATAATTCTATATCTTTACAGAGCAAACATGTCACACAGCGGGAAATCATCCATCAATCTGGTTCTGGGCGCCGCCAATGCAAGTTCTACCAACGTCATTACTGAAGTATGTCTGACCATGACTATGTGCAGATCGGAGACAAGTCTATCGACGCCATGGCACGTTTCGACACACCTGAAGAGGTCATGTCTTTCCTAGACGTCTTCGCAAGGCGTGGGTATAATCAAATCGATACTTCGCGCATGTATTCACCTCACGCACCGGGAAGCTGCGAGCCTAGGCTTGCAGCTGTTTCAGCGGGTGAACGATTTGTCATCGACACCAAAGTCATGTCTTGGAAGCCAGCAACCCATGCTAAGAACGAAGTCTTGTCCGAGATCAACCTCTCGCTCGAGACATTGCGGATCCCGCAAATCAACATCGAATACCTGCATGTTCCTGACCGTGACACTCCGTTCGAGGAACCATGTAAAGCCATGACTCAGGCATACAACGAAGGAAAAATCAAGCGTTGGGGGATTTCCAATTACACAGCAGAAGAGGTTCATCGGTTTGTCGATATTTGCGAGAAACATGGCTATCTGAAACCGAGTGTTTACCAGGGTCAGTATAATGCCGTTGTACGAAGTGGCGAAAAGGATCTTTTCCCTATTCTTCGGAAGAATGGGATTGCTTTCTACGCGTACAGCCCCGCTGCTGGAGGCCTGTTTGCTGGCAACCACAAAAACGCCAAGGCTGGTGGGCGATGGGACAGATCGGTGAGCATACTCCTCCAACAGCTGGTGCTGCCTGTCTCGCTCGGTGTGCTGACTATGGATTCTTTCATCACAAGATTTCCTCTGGCGAGCTGTATGCAAATCTCTACTTGAGACCCTCCATCATGGCCGCCACCGAAAAGGCACTTGAGACCGCATCTCGGCACGGCATCGCCGGTCACGCTGTTGCTCTTCGTTGGACGGCACATCACAGCGTTCTCAGCAGCAAGCACGGCGACTCGATCATCATTGGTGCTTCTAGCATGAATCAGTTGGAATCCAACATTGACATGATTGAACAAGGACCATTGCCGCACGATGTGGTGGCTGCTGTCGAAGCGGTGTATGAGGAGATCGGCGACGAAATTCCGTACCATTTCTAGGGAGACCCATCGTTCATGTTGCTTTATGCGAAGAACTGCGAGAAACTAGTCCTAATGTAGTAGGAGCAACTCTTGGCGAACTTCAGGGCGGTTTTCCGGCGAGTTTGGTGCTGACAAATGTGGATTCCTTCATACCAACGATAATCTTACTCGGAATTGACGTTCAAGAGCGCAACTTGACTGAGCACGCTTCATCTAATTCTCTGCGACGTTTCTTCATCTTCCTCGGCCTGGTTCAAGGCCACTCGTGAAAATGGAGTTCATTACTATGGTTCACCCGGCCCAAAAAGACTCGGCCAGCCTGAGACGGCAGGCTCATTCCCATGCCGCTCGTTTTGCTCACGCGCGGGCAAGAGAGCGTCGCATGGTGGAGCATACGCAACCTAAACAAATATTAGAGAATGCAGGAGGTGACGACGAGGTTGCCGATTCAGAGGAGCGCTTGTCAAGTAATTGGAGAAACTTGGCATCATTCGTACGTAACGAAACAACCCCGGTGCTTCCGCAAAATATTTCAGGGGCATTCGAGCACGAACCCTTGGCGAGCTTTCTTGGGTCACTCAAGCCAAGAGAACATTACATGTTTCAGCATTGTGAGTTGCAGTCATTCCAGTATCATGATATGCCGTCGGTGACAAGTCAATTGCAACACGCACGAGTAAGCTAACCACACTCTTAGATGTTCAAGTTGTCGTGCCCGAAATGCTTAGCCAGTGTCCAGTGTTGAACTACATGAGAAAACACAACGATCATGTACGAAACAACTGGGTGCTTTTAAATTCCGCACACATGGAATTTCTCAAAGGGTTCTTACTTGCGGCCTGTCGTCACCTTTCTACTGTCAAGTCAGACCGAGAGTACGCAGAAATTGCCATTCAATATAAACTCAGATACATCCAAGACCTTCGGCGTACGATCCTGGTCGATGGTCCTTCGTCAAGACGCGAAGCCGTCACAAGAGCCTTGGTTTTGGCATTTGACGATGTATGTTGTGTGGTGGCCGTCAAGGCACTGACCGCGCTGACTGGCCTACTTAGATTATGATTCAGGATATATCAATGGCTTCAAACCACGTACTCGGAGCTATCAATATCATTCAAGCGGCAGGAGGCAGTCAAGTACTTGGCTTGAGTGACCTCGTTCGCTACATTCTTTACAACTGTGTGCACGCAAAACGGCTTCTAGACTGGATGCCGGTGCTTGATTGAATCACTCGAGTTTTACCTTCCACCATGGCAGTAATGGATATACCGGCGGAGCCCTGACTGGCGATTGAGACACCGAATAAATGTATATGCTTGGGGGGCTTACCTTTCTATTTCGGCATTGACAGCACGTAGTCTAGATCTAGGTGCCGGCATAGCTTCCTGTTTGTCTGTTTGATGTAAAGTCCAGACTGCACTTCTCCTTCATAGCTTGTACGTGCCGTGCAGCGATGAAAGAACTTGTTGAGTCACTGGGCTCAGTTCTTGCCCTGCGGCCTAAGCTCTTTGCTTCTTAGAATTGATCAAATAGATCTGGCCACATCCCACGCTACAGCGCGCTTTCATAATGTGCAAATGCCTTCCATTGCAAGTCAAATCTGAACGCTCAAATGCTCCCCGAAGAAACGCCTCCTGCTTGTACAGGCCGTTTTCCATAAATAGACCAACTAGAAATATTTCGTTAGCTCGCAGAACATCAGTTGCAACTGCTATTTGGGCTTTGTCCACTTACATTGAGAAATACGCGTGGATATTCCTGTCAGAGAACTCTTTCAGATTCTCTTCCATCAAAGCAAGTACGTTCTCCCTTGTCCAACCGAGCATTCTTGTCAGCAGGGCCATACATATTCCTTCCCATCCTCTGACCAGGTTTTCGTTATGCCAAACTCCTAGTTCTTTATGTCGTATTTCTCTCGGCCATGTATTTGTAGGCCACTTGAAATGCAGGAGGGTGACGTCAGTGAATCCAGCCTCCATCATGATTGATTTCAACTCCTTGACGTCCTGGTATGGCCGTCCGTATAGTGTTGAAGCCTGCTGTAGTAATCGTGCCGTTCTCGAGACTGAGTGCTCTTGTCGCAAAGTGCCATCGTCGGATAATGGGGTAATGTCAACTTCGACTAATTCCAGCCACCCGCCAGGGTTGAGATTGCTTGAGACCAAATCAGACATGCTCGTATCGAGGACGCAGTTGACCTACTCGTGACATGTTCGAATATACTCATTCCAGTCACCAACAGATGAGTTCATCATTCGACTGTGAATGTAGTCGAAATGTCGACCGAAAGACCATGGCTCCTCAAAGTCTGCTATCTCGAACCGCACGTTTGGTGGCAAGCTGGAACATTAGCATCAGTATTTGCTCATAATAAGCGGCTGGGCAAGGCTATACAAATCTGGCTGCACCGGAGAAAGGTCTATTCCACGAACCTATCGCGCATAAGCATAATATTAGGGTCGCGAGTATAATAACAAACCTCTGCTTCTGGGTGCTCATCTCCAAAATCTATCGCCCAGATCCCAGTCCCAGTCCCTATATCAAGTACGTGGCCAGCGCAGGCTCCTTTATCGCAGGGAGGGGCCATCCCGAGCTTGTCACTGAAAGTGAGTAGGAATAGAGTATGTTGCAAATCTGGCTCGCATATTAGACACATGAATCTTGATGGGAAAGGATCGCGTTGGCTCTCGCCTACATGTGTATGATTCAAAAGGCATGATTGTTGAGAGGCTCTGACTGGAGTGGGTGAAGGCGACGATGCAGGTATTGGGTGGTCAGGGCAGATAGAGGGGTCATAAGAGCAGAGTTCCGATGACTGGAGATGATGGATAACATGTCACTGGCAGTACAAATGAAGCGACTGAATTAATGGGAGGAACTCACCAAGTCTCTCAATTTCCTTCTCATCATTGGGGATGTTGTATTCTGAAATTCTCATTCAGTCTAGATCTCCCGGCGAAGCACGGCTCCCCTTGTTTCACACAGTACTCACTTCCATCCTTATATCTGTGATAAGTTCTACCATTTTCAACGCGATAGTCCATGATAGAACTTGCAAGACTCCCTCTTGATGAAGCAAGGGTTTGCTGGACAAGATATCGGAGTCAGCTCCGCTGGTAAATTGAACACACGGCGAAGATCACATCAAATGTTGGAGGCAGGCACTGACAATTCCAATGGCTGAGTCGTTATCCTATCAAAAAGTTAGACTTCTCAATTGTAAACGAGAAGAATGAAAGATCACCTGATCGTCAGCCTCGATGACGACCTCGCGATCGGCCACGTTATTGGGCCAATTGGCATGTTCCACTGCATGTGCGACATCGAAGTTGTCGACGTCCTCCATGCTGAGGTCGTCCATGTGGAATGAGGCTGAACCAACAAGCTGGGTCAGCGCAAGATGGTTCCAACGCGAGCCAAAACGGTGTCCTGGAACGCGGGATGTATTTAAATGCAGGGTGGGCCGACCCCTCACCCGAACTCTGGCCAATGAATATGCATGTTCACCGACGGATGTTATGCCTGCAAGAGACACATCACCGCTGCTTCAGAGCGAATGAGAGCCGAGAAAGCGGCTGGGATTTCGTGCCACAGTAGGGCCTGTGTACCAATTGTCACTGCCAACCAACACACTGTCTGCAGTTTGCTCAGCCAGGCGCATAAATAGCCCTGCCGAAGGTGCCATTGAGACGTCTGCCCCACGGCCGCAGTGGATGCAGCTAAGAGGTTGCAGCTGGGTGAGAGTCATTGACTTGCGTCAAAATTGTAAATCTGACAGAAGCAGACTACTCTCAGATGGCCCAAGGCACACTTCTTTAGGCGGCAAGACAACACATTCGATGCCCTACAGGATGATAGTTGACCATAAAGATCGGACTAGCCCCCCCCCCCCCCCCCCCCCCCCCCCCCCCCCCCCCNGCCCCCCCCCCCCCCCCCCCCCCTTCTAAAACCCCCGACAAAACGCTGTGAAGACAGTGCACGCGGTCCAAACTCGATGCTTGCGAAAGGATCTCCGATTCCCGTTGCGCTGCAGCAGGGCTACCTAGTATCCCTGCTTTTGCATTCCAACTTGCTAGGTAGGGGATAAGACTCACCGGAACTGCTCTGGGCTGTCCAAGACGGTGCTAATCCCCTTTCTCACATAACCTTGGCCGGAATGGTCGGCGATTCAATTCGACGATCATTGCTTGGTCACTACCTTGGGTGAAAAACGACGATCTTCATCTCGTTGCAAATACCACTCTCCGAGGTTGCAGTCAGCACAAAATGATGCATAGCACGAATGCATACACCGACGTTCAAAGTTGCATTCAAGTGCGCTATGTGCTCGGGTGTACAGGCCTAATGGAGTGCAGCACATCCCTATCCCCCATCCGCTCTCACCATAACCAATCCATAAATCTAGCCTGTTAGCTGCGGTCGGGATACCTGTGATTTGAACAAGCTTACCTCTCATAACGCGTCGCCGGGGGCTTGATAACCAAAACAGCCTCATGCGCTTCAACTTCAGCTAGTCCAGTCCTGAAGTCCATGTCCTCGGGCTTGAAGATTGACGTGCGCTTCAATATTTTCCAACCAACGTATATGATCACTAAGAGCGTCGGTCTCCGTTCCTACTGAAATATCGAAGACTCAAACATGAGTCCATGACCAGGCTGAGTGGAAAGCATACGAAAAAAAACAAGCGTAAAGTATGCCGTAAAGAAATTAGAGAAACTCCAATGGCCCTTGACGAAAACTCCTAGTAACGTGTCAGAAATGCACTCCTAGAGGTCGTCGGGTCTCGACTTGCCATAGCCATTCGTAAGGATGATAATGCCGACCCAGAAGATGGCAAAGTAGTTGGAGTAGGCTTGAAAACTATCAGTGTCATATTTCAAAGGTCCAAGACATTGCACTCACGTGTTAACTTGCTTCTAAAAGGGAGACTTGCGGCATCGATTCCCTGCGCTATGAGGCCTTTATGAAATTGAAGATTTGCCACCTGCACGCATTAGCAGTTAGCAGTAAGCATTAATACAGTGCATACGATGAGCCCAGATTGATAAACCAATTCAGGACGACAGCAGAAGCGGTATTGCAAGTCATGAAGGCAAGAGAAGCAACGGCGGTAGACAGGACCAATGCCGGAATGGGAACTCCCGTCTTAGTTGTTTTGGCAAAGATTTTGGGTGCTCTGCCATGTTTGGCGAGACCAAATACGGTTCGTGAAGCCTGGAAAAGGAGACAATTTGTACAACTCCAAGCAGATGTGATGCTGAGAAGAAGACGTTAGCAATGCCACCCACAAACGTGCAAACTGTTCTTACACAACTGCATTACAAAGATCAGGACGGAAAGATATCTCAAGTCTGTTCATTGCGATGATGAAAGGCGACTCGGCAACTCCGTTGCCACTTGCGATGGCCGTGACTGAGATTAATGTCAGCACTGTAAACTCATCGTCGAGTGACAAACATTAGGACTTACGCATGGTGGGTCATTGTACGGTACCAGAAGCCCAACCTCCGAAGACTGAGAGAATAAAGAAGAAGATCAACCGATGGATAACACGCCTGACAGCTTTGGGGATATTACGACGCGGGTTGACAGCCTCCGATGCGCAGTTGGCAATGAAGTCAGGGCCGCCGATGGCAAAGGCCGCCGTGTTGAAGACCCCCTAGATGGATAAGAATCGGCCTGTGGTCCCAGTTGTGTATGTCTCGTTGAAAGCCCCAGGGTCTCTCCAGTATCTGAATCCGATGCGGTCGTGTTTGGGGTTGCCGCCGAGGACAACTACGAAGGTGAACAGCAGAAAACCAAAGATCAGACAGATCTTGAAGATTGAAGCATTGAACTCGACCTCACAAAAGTATTTGACCGCAAGGCAGTTGAGAAAGAAGACGACTCCTAATGTGCAGGCTACCCAGACGCCGGGGTTGGTACCCAGGAACCAATAAGACCAAAGGCCAGCCAAGGCAGTGCAATCAGCGGCAGTGAAAATCCTGCAGGGAGAATGCTCAGCTCGAAGATCCCCAAGTTGATTCAATCCAAAACTTACATCCTAAGAAAAGAGGTCATGTTAAGGCCACGTTATCAGCTTCAGCTTGGTGTGCTAAAATTACTCACATGCTAAATTCGGGTGGAGTTAGCATGTTGACACTTGACCTCACAACGGAATCATTACCTGTACGCGTACACCCATCCCATGGCCACGCCGGCACTCTCATCAACGAACCGTCCAATGTCTAAGATGTTGAGCTTTCAGGTAGGGTCAGTGTGGATGATAGCATATCACTTACGTGTGACGAATGAGCCTGGGACAGGTTGAAAATGCTGACATTTCTCCCATGGCATGAGAAACGCAAAGAAGAAAAATGCACCTAAAAGAAGTCAGGTCATGGGTATAAGGCCTATGCTGTGCGATGTTCTCACCAAATGGAGTATCCGATGAGAAGGCCAGCGGGTCCAGCACTACTAAGCACGCCCGATGTGCCAACAAATAGACCTTGGATTGTCAGTCATTGCGTGGATTCATATTTGACCATGAAAACTATGCCCTAATTGGTTGAATGTTTTTGTTCACTCACCTGTTCCAATGACCCCGGAAATTGCCAGTAATTGGATGTGATGCGACTGCTCTATGAACTCCATGTTCGGAAAGTTGAATGGCAGAAATCTGGCCCCGGTCGTTCAGCGACTATCACCATCGGTCAGCTTTCGTATTCTGTGCGAAGAGCCAGATGAGCAAGCTCACAGAGCTAGAGTCATGAAGGCCCGGAGCGTTTGCCCCCTTCTTTTCGTCGTCCATCTTGTTGGGAGTATGTTGCGAATTCGGTTGAAATTTTGCAGAAATGACGTGATCTTGGACGATTGAGTCTTTAGTTCATCCAATTCGCAGGACACTATTGATGTGATATACTGAGACGGATGAGGCGAAGAACTCCTACATTATTAGAACACTGATGTTCAATGTTTTCCAGCCAACAGAACCGGCAGAATCTAAGCCCTACTAGCTTGCAAAGCCGCATTCAGCTTGATGCTGACAAGACTCCTAAAGGCGCGCTTATCTTGAGGTCGTAACTCAAAATGACCGTACTGGTCGGTTTCTGGCTAAGGCGCGCCTATCTTCAACTTGATATGCGTCACCAATAATGACAATTCGCTATCACAGTTCTGAACAAGGCGCGCTTATCTTTGTCTGCTTAAATGCGGGACTTGCGGGGTGCCTGTCTGCAACCCAGCGATGTGTCCGCTAGGATCCCCCATCGCAAACATGACATACCTATCAAATTGAGCCACATTCACAGGCACATGAACGCAGAAGGATTTGATTGATGCAGACTTGCCACCCACCTGGAACTCTTCACCTTCACTGTTAGGCGCGGATATCAGTGAGCACCCGCCGGACCACGCCTACTTCATTTTCATGTACCATGGGCGACTGGGAGCTCGGAAAATATGAATAAGTCTTGAACGGCGATGATCATGATTCTTATTTTATTCGGCATGCTTCAAATCTGAGTTCTCCTCTGAAGCTACAATCACCTTTGACATGGCTTTGCTTTCCATTTGGTTCCTGTCATTCTTAGCATGCTTCCTCGTGACGTTGCTGCGATGGCAAGAGCGACGCGTCGGTAAGATGCGGGCTGCTTTGCCTACTGACCAGAGCAGGTCCCCCCTCTTTTTGTTTTCTTCTTCTTTTTGACAATTGATTCGAACCTGGCACTGACTTTCCTGATAGAGCCTCTGGTGTATCCGGAGCCATCCCCCGACCAAGCATTTGACATGAAAACGACAATGCCACCAAAGTTCCAGGCGTTCCGTTACTCCTACTCCAGACAGTACGTTGTATGGAATCTTGCCTCCATATGTCATAACTTAAGACTCAATGGGCCCCGTCTCCAGTACAGTGGATGTTCGAAAACTGGACAAAGACTCTTGGGTTCTTGTAAGTATCTCCGACGTTGTGAACACATTGTTCATTAACCTCTCTTTCTTAGCTGGATAATGATTGGCCACGGTACTTTCAGATCAAGGTCCGTCGACTGGCGGATCGTGGAGACAAAATCATTCAAACCATGCCTGTCGCGCGCGATGCAGCATGGGAGCTTTGCCAAGATCTGGCTGAGTTTCTTTCTCGGCGGTATCCTTCAGTGTACCGAGTTGCTCGTTCTGAAGATAATACGCAAGGCTGGTATAGACTGGGTTCCATCAACAAAATTGAGATGCCAGCTATGGGGGCGGCTTACGACTTGAACAAACATGACTCTTTGACAGTGCATTGCCCCTTTTCCTATGCCATAGCGGTTGGGTGTCAACTAACAACACCAGGTTGCTGGCCTCATTCAACCAGCTGACATCAACATTTTGGTCAAGGGTACCGATGGCTATTATCAGCTTGCTGCTATGATGCTCGGGATCGGAGGTTGGTAACCACCTTGATGCCGTGCCAAGGCTGTGGCTAATAAATATTTCGAAAAGGGGGGCAGAGAATCAAGGATAAGAGTAAGACTCTTTGAAGCCATGATCCTTAATGAGACTTTGCTGACATCATGCAAGTTGGCAAAACACTAGCAGATCTTCAGTTCTCGGGCCATGTTCCGCATTACAAGGAGCAGCTCCAGCGGCCACTTGATCAGTAAGCCCGTTTGCGTCAGCTTACACATCGCAAAAGCTCACAAATTCGTTTTAGTTTTCTCTCCGAGCTCAAGTTTGAGAGCCCAATCCAACGGAACAGTAAGATCACCCCTTCTGATTTGTGCTTATATAGGTACTGACTTGCTCCAGCCACCTCTATCTCGATGCATGGTGAGTCTCCTGTCAACTCTGCATCTATTTCTGCTGCTTCGACAGTGTGCTTACTTGCCGTCTCTTACTCTCAATAGACGAATATCACTGGCCTGCTCTAACAATGGGAGCAGAGGACGACTGGGATCCAGAACTCCGCGGTCCCGGAATCAGCACTTCCAGCTATGGCAAGTGGAAACCGCCGGGTCCAGTCAAGAACATTTCTCAGTTGTGGTTCCGCCAGGAGCGTCAAACTTTGCGGCTCCCACGGTCTGGTGCAGTTGTGTGGATGGTTCACACGTACATTGAGCCTCTTGTCGAAGTCGTCCGGGAGCCAGGTGTTCCGGGGCGTTTGGCGTCTTTCGTCCGTAGCTGGGATGATGAACTGGCCCTGTGAGTACATCCTCCATATCACTTGCCAACTGACAGCTGACCCGTGATGCCCATCATGTAGCCACAAGGGTCGCCATCTTTATGCCGATGTCCTCCTACCATACCTAGACGATCTCCATAAGAAGCAAGTTACAAGCGGAATGTGTGACGAAGGACAACTGCCGAGTAAGTTTCCGTTCTAGCAGGCTTTCAATTGCAAGGGGGTTAGTAATCTTGCGGTTCGTGAATATTGGTGGATTTCGGAGACGGCACACTGAGTTGCGAGATTGGATTGGGAAGGGGTGATCATATCACTTGATGTCTGTGTAGCAAATTGCCAGATATTATTCCTGGCCAGGATATTGCATCAAGATCAAGAGTTTCTTCTAATAGGAGAACCAATTCCAGAGTAGGAGCAAATAAACCACCTGTATATCAAGCCTTACCATTCCTTTCGTAAGAAAGCTGGAGATACCGGGGTTTGACTTGCTACCAATCTCAAAGAAGCCTCTTATCTCTGTGGGTCCGGTCACTGCCAATCCCAAAGATGCTTGCTCACTTGTTCTCGCCCGAAGATTGCCGGGGACCTGGCGATAACCTTCGTGATATGTACCCCACATGTTCCCCAGAAATTCATCGATAACACGACATAACGGCAGCGTCTACGATCAACCGAACCACTCTGCAATGCTCCAACAATCGACTCCGACTTCAAAGGGCAGGCGATCGTCAGCCGGTTGTATAGGCTGTAGGTTACGTTGTAAGAAGTGCAGCGAGGAGAAGCCGCATTGTACCAACTGCTTGCGCAACGCCATCCTGTGCACATGGCCCGAAGTTGGCAACAGGGAACACGCCCAACTCTTGCGGAGAACGAATCCCACTCGTGGGCGCTCGAGATCTTCCAAGTCGGGTCGTACAATAACAGATTCGCGAGTTGTATGGTTACAATCAGCCGCCGTCGTTTCCAAAGACGATCAAGGGGACCATGAAAGGACTCTGACCGAGATTCTGGGGAGTCTTCGTCGATCCATCGATCTCGATTTCGTCTCATCAAGGGGGCCCATGAGAGCCCCGGAGTCTCGCAGTCTTTTCCATCACTATGTCCATCGCACGAACAAAGTCATGGCCGTGTGTCAGGGCAACAAGAACCCATTTCTGGCGGAGCTCATACCCATGGCCATGTCGAACGATCTAATTCTGCATGCCTTGCTGCCACTAAGTGGTGTTCATCAAGCGGATCTATCTGGATTTCCAGTTGACCATTTGACATGGGTACACTACGGCCAGGCAATCCAGTGCCAGAAGTTCGGGCTGACTTTGATGGCTCAAGGGGACAAAGAGCCTCTTGTGCCGCTTTTGGTAACCGCCATCATTCTATGTGCTACCGAGGTACGTTCGAGCATGCTTCAACCTCATTTGAGCTTCGTTTTCTATGACCGTCGTTCTCTATGATTTCCTTCATCCATACCAAAGCAGAGATGAGCTTTATACAAAACCTAAACTGACCCTCTTCCAGACATTCAGACTCAATGCAGGAGCTCAAGCCTTGTCTCATCTGAAAGCCGTTCGCGTGCTTCTTCATGAGGCATCAAGCCTGTCCAACTCTCAACTCGGGCCCGAGACTCGAGCTTTCCTCAAGGAAAGATGCGCATACATCATGACTCTTGCGCACATCAGCATGGGGCAGGAATCAGACCAATGGGTGCAGGACGATATTCCGCAGCTTTTCCCAATGTCAGAAGCCGAGCCAGAAAGTCAGTTCATGTCTGGCTGTGTGCACCAGCTTTTCGGCCTCGTTCCTATAGTGTCGGTGGTTGCTCGGAGGGCATGAGACGAACTTCGGCAAGGGGTAGGATTAGGCGAAGCCATGGTCGAGTGCTGGAGGCTCCGTTCAATCATATCATCATGGCAACCTCGCTCGGATGATGAGTTGTACAAGTTATGTGGACATCTGTATCAACAGACCTTGCTTGTGTACCTCGAGTCTGCCCTGGAGAGCGAGCCAGGTTGTCTGTCAACTCATGCTTCTGGCCTAAGCTTGACTGAGAAGACCTGGGATGGCTTTGTCCGTTTCTTGTAAACGGTCCCAGTCGACTCTCCTATTTCCGCCAGTATGTGCTGGCCACTGGCCATCTTTGGATCATGTGCCAGATCTGTTGAGCATCAAAATATCATCAGCAGTCGGCTGGAGGAGCTATCGTTGACGTATGCAACGCAAAGCGTTCGAGACACTCAGAGACTATTGGAGATGATCTGGGAGTCAAATGACCTGACATGGCAAGCCCACTTTGTTTTGCAGACGTTATGAAGAAGGAGGGCATGACGGTATTGTTCTTCTAATGATACCAGTCTTTGCTCAATTCACTGTGTGCTTAATGTGTAACTCAATAACGTCCCGGACCCCAAAATATCTGGTAACAGACTTAACGAACCAGAACTTACATTCCTAGCTTTCACCAGCTACCAATGTTCATGACATTATCAAAATTGTTAGTACTTGTGATATTCATTGTTATCCAATTATAACATATAATCCGAAGTCGTATTCCAATATCGCCATTTGATTGCACCTCAGTCACTGCTAAGCCATACCACACATAGATGAACGACGTAGGTTAGATGTCTTTCGATTCAGGAATACTTCAGTGCTCATTTCAAGGCCTCTTGGTAGAAATTCATGGCTCATTGGCAGTGTCTGTGCCAATGCCCTTTAGATATCATACAGAACTTTCCGTCTGTTCAACCTCAAGCCCAATTCTCCCCAAAGCCTCAGCAAACACTTCTTCTTCTTCTTCACATGCCACCTCTCCAACACGACCTCCAATTGCCACAATCCAGATCGTCCATCATCGCACAGACATCCCACACGTGTCCAACGCCAAAGTCCCCCAAGCCGTCTCTCACAACCGTGCCCTCCATGCCGTCGGCCGCCGCCAAACAGCCCACAACCGAGCGCACTTGCCTAGCCTGCCGCCGGTCTCCTCCATCGCTGCTGACATCCTACACCCCCCATTCCACCCAAGAATCCCGACTGCTCCCCGACTACTCCCCGAAGCCGGCGCCTTCACAGGCATCACCTTGCCTCCCGTTCCTTCCCTCAATTCCAAAAAAGCAATGACGTCTGTCCGTCTCGATGACTAGCATACGCCGGCCGATAACATCAGCTGAACCCAAACTTCCCCCAACACAACTGGTGTCGGAAGGCAAAAAGGAAAAGAGATGGTGGTGCGGAGGCATGCAGCATGCGGCTACAGCCGAAGCACATCATGACTGACCTCACGGGCTTAAACTTCCCTGACGAGATGCTGCGGTCCTGAAGACATGGGAAGAAGCTGTTGCAGTCCCAGAAACAAGACCCAAAAGCAAGAAAGCCTGGACGAACGTCAAAAGCAAGCAGCCATCACCCCGAACGGCAAACAATTTGTAAAAAGAAGGAAAAGCAAAACGGCGCCCAGTCCAGAGGGGAAGAAGCTTGGTTCAGCTGACGCCACCGGTCGTTCGTTCCGACAAGAGGATCAACCCGGCAGACTGGACGCCGCAAAACAGCCCGTTTCTGTAAGGGAAAAGAAGCTCAGACCGCAGCCTAAGCCTCTCTTTCTCAGTCTCCCCCATCCATCCCCATCCAGCCCACCAAAAGCCTAAACGCCGTCTGTTCCTTCCCGCAGAGGCTGGGCTGGGAAATCCTCTCCATCCCTTCCGTCCATCTTCCCGGGCTGCGCAGACGGACGAACTGCCAAGGCCTAGTGACGATGGAAGACATTTGATTTCCCGCGGCCGTGGAACCAGGGATTCCCAAGGACGTCGACGAACACCTCCCAGATCAAGTCTAGAACACATCTCGAAACTAAAGTCCTCAGCCCCGTCGCAAGTGTCAAAGATATCACGCCAGAAAGGCTGAGGTGAACTTGTTCTGCTGCTGCTTCGGCATCCCCCCCGCCTCATGATACCATTGACCCCGCAGGACCAAACCTCACAAGAAACGACGCTATTCATCCTCTTGGATGTGGGGTCCAGGCCCGCCGGTCTGGTCTGGTCTCGCTGCGTTCTTCCAGCAGAAGAAGTCCCAGCCATAAATCCGAGACACTGCATACCAGCTCCCAGCGCCTCACAGGCGCCTCCAGATGCAAGCCTCCCCCGACCTGGAAAACCGGTGAGGCAGGCACACACAGGTCAGCTCCGCGAGGTCGCGACGAGACGGCTGGCGACATGAAGCCTCTGCACGCCGATGCCACATCCCCGTCATCTCCTCCCCCAGGATCTCCATGAACGCCTACCCCGGCCGTGCTTTCGCAAAGGCAAGTACGCCCGCGGGGCGGAAGACGTCGAAAAAAGAAGCAGTTCATTTTGGATTCCCGCGCATTATGCTGAGACCGTCCAAGCTGGGACGAGAAGAAACTGGAATAAGAAATGATTAGTTGCGTCAGAGAAACAAGGACGCAGAGGGGCATGCGTTTGCGCCGCCCGGCAGGGTCTGGGGTCGTACGCCACTCTGTATGTAGCCTGGGAAGGAAGAAGAGCAAAGGGGGCAAAAAGGAACAAGGCAAAAGCTCGTCCGTCGATGCCTCATGACGGTGGTCCGGGGTATCACGGAATCGGCGTCCGATGTATGATGCCCGCCCGGGAGATGATGTTGGCCAACTGCGAACCTCCCAACGCCACCCACAAAGGTGCATGTCGCAAGGACCTCGCACAGCCGGCCGGGGACGACGAAGTACAAGACGTGGTATCTGTTGTGCACGGCGTCTCAGGGCTGCAGTAACTCATTGCCTTAGGGCTGCCTCGTTGCCGGGCTTTGGATGACGGGCCTGATGGCGTCGAGTCTCACAGACGGAAACGAGGTGCGTGACGGACGCGGTCGTAGCCTGGATTCGCGAGGCAACATTTGGTACAGAGTTTGATAGCTTCACATGACGACACCAATACGAAGAGGAAGAGAGAGACATTGGCGATTAGATGGTGTAACCAACAAATCAGGGGTAGGCAATGTCGTCAAGGCGTCGCGGCGATGGATCACCTGCCAGGTCAAGTGGACGGATGACTGAGCTGATTCAGGGCAGGAATGCGCCACCATCAGATTGGATAGGAAAAACCGACTTTGCGTTGAAGTTGGTTGCTGCACCCCGCCGGGGGTTCTCGGCGGCCTCGGAAGTTGATGATTACTCGATACGGCCATGATAAGGGAGTCTCGTAAGCAGAGACCAGGTTTGAGATCTGACAAGTCGCACTTGATAACCTCCGAACTACAGCTTTTGTGTCACCCGAGAAGGCTGTCTCTCTCTGAATCCGCTGTCTCTGGTCGAATCAGATTCTTTGGTCATTCGCTGTGCCGTTCCCATAGGAAGACATGCTGACGGGCCATCACCGCATCGACTGCTGCGGGACCCGTCGAAAGAAGCAGCAGACAGTCGCACAGTCTCGGTGTGTTTGAATGGCAAGCTGCAGGGTCGGTGGAACGAGGGGTGCATACGGGCTTGTGACACCATGCTGACCTTCTCTCATCTCAGTTGGCTCGCGAGGCGCAAGCGATGCGCCATCCGACTTTCCTGCTTAGAGCCCGGCAGATCCATCATCATGCACATATTTCAGACGGAAGGTTGCTTGCAACCATACCTCGTTCTGGGCCAGTCCAGGGACGCGTCGCTGACGCCTGATTAAGTTCGGTTCCACATGTGCGGTCAACAGATGGGCATCTGGAATTCCAGTTGTATGGAGAGGAGGGTGCGGTTGGTGGTGAGGTGCTCGTGCTAGTCAGCGGCCGTTTGGCGGCCGCTGCAAGCCCGTCGATCGTCCGTTTCAGTTGGTCAGCTCGAGTAGCTGTCTCCTAGCGACGTGATAACGCAAGCTTGCAAACGCCGCACTCAAGTACGTAAAATAAGGTAGCCATGCATGTGAACTCCCACCGCCCTGATTGTAACTGTTGATATGGCTAGTCGTTGGGCACCACCCAGGTGAATACCTGTTCGGGGGGGGGGGGGGGGGGGGTNGGGGGGGGGGGGGGGGCGGCGGATAAGTGAGCCAGATGGCAGTGGACCCCCGAGTGTCGGTGATCGAGATTAGATTCTGTAGACTGCGGGAGATCTGCCGCATGATGCTGCGTGATTTGGATGGGCCAGACAGCATCATGTCGAGCAGCAGCGACTGGTGGGCAGACTCTCGGCCATTATCCGTAAAGTTTTCGTGCACATATCCTTGAGATCATGTCGGGGCTAGATGCGATGTTGCGAGCATCGCGGTGAGGTAGCTTCCGAAGCAAGTTTGGGTGCTTTGGGGGCTAAGGAGCAGCTAGTTCCTCGGACACCACCTTCATTGACGAGCTAGAGGTGACTTAGACATGGCTGGCGGCTAACAGGTAAGCCTGGTGGCATTCTCTGACCCAGACGTGACAAGAACCTGGGAAGAAGCAAACTGAGGCCCCTCCAAGACCCGAACCAGCTGAGAGGAAGAGGACAAGCAAAAAGAAAAAGCCTGTTCTGGAGCCATGAGAACATGTCACCGCGGGCTGTGTCTGTCTGTTGACTGTCTCCGCCATCGACATTACGTGGAGTGTGGTTGTTGAAGATAGCGGGGGCGCAGCGGTGGTTAGGCGCTGTCAAGGGTGTCCTTTCCCCCAGGAATCTGGAATGGGCTTCTTCCTTGCTGCAAAACCAACGTGTTCGGGTTCTTGGGTTCAGACAGCAGACACCGACTTTTCCCGCCGGGTCACTCCTGCTTCGTGAGGTCCCGACATTTCAAATGGCAAGACGAGGTGAACACCGCTCGATGCCTGTGCCCTGCCCCTCCGTACGCTAGTCGTCGATCCAGTAAGGCTGTTGAACCTGAGAGATTCGCAGA